CTGAGACTTGTCCGTGATAATTTCCAAGGTGGCACCAAAACTTTTATAATTGTTCGCGAGCCATTCAAGTAGTGGTTGACACTCTACGAGTTCCAATTCTACCCCGCTCTATGAAAAATGTAGTAAAAAAATATAGAAGCGAAATTGAAATATATTTCTATTTCTCATTTCCAATCGTTTTGATGCTCACTTCTTTATCAGTAAAATGAGTTTTATCCTTCTCTTGTTCTGGCGTTAAGTGTAATACTTTTTCTTCCGCGTTCGTATGATTTTTCAGGACATATCGTTGAATATCTAAATTTTCCCAACAAATTAAAGTTTCGACGCTACCTAATTCCAAGGCTCTCAACGTGTCTTCTACACCGAAACAGTATTTACCAGTTTCTTGAGAAATTTCATCAAAATAACGACCTACAAAACAAATAAAAAATGTATATTATTTAACATATATACCTCATATAATATTACATGCTAATTGATAATATTGAAAATAAATATTTACCGATCAGCTTTTTCTCTTGAATAAACTTTACGTTTTGCAAAGATTCGGCCGCTAACTCAATAGCTTGATTAAAACCGTTTTCGCCACCATATGATACATCAACCAGCTTTATAACCTTAGCTTGCAATCTCTGAATAAGAATTAATGTATTAAAAAAACTAATATATTAGAAACACAATCTCTGTTTTTATCTCCTTGTAATACACAAATGTATTCAAAGAAATTAATTGAAAAAAATGGATAGTTAACAATGCTAAATAATCGCTTATCAAAAAAGAGATTCGGGTTCGATTTCCGAACTTGCTAGCTTCATAGAACATTAATGTATAGCACGAAGAAAATTTAGTGCGAAAATTCCACTCTGATAAAAATAGCTTACGAGAGATGAATTTAATCTTTACAGGTAAAGATAAACAAAGAAATTAAAAATATTTAAAAAAAACTTGGATCTTTGGAATAGAGGTCGGATAAAAAGCTCATAATACCTTTCCAATTGTCAATTTAAAAACTGACTTAAACTAAAACATTATTCATAATATAATAAAACAATTGAAAATGTGATCATAAGAAAGAATCTTGCTTACTGGATCGAACATATCGGATTGACTAAGCTCCGTCTTGAAATCGGCGCTACCCGCCAGGATCAATCCAGCGATGTTCGGTTTATCGTTTGTGATGTATAATTGAGTAGCCACTTCGGCTACTTTTCGAACGTAATTATGCCGCTTTTCCATGCGTAATCGGGCAAAACGCAATGCGGATTGTCCACCTCTGCCTGAAATCAATATTTTTTTTTGTAACACATTTGATACAAATGCCTTGATCTTTGAACGAGCAGTAATTGCAAAGATATTGGCTTTTTCAGTTTTTCAATTTCTCTTACGTACCATGTTTCTTGGGAAGGTCCACAGTAAATTTATGTAATACCTCACGCGTATTGCCTTGTAGCGTTCCAAATAATGCTCCATTACCATCCATTACAATAAAACCGAATTTGTTATCGTCCGCGAGTAATGCCGTGAGCGCTTCTGTGTGAAACTGCAAAACGCAATATAGTTTGTGTAAAAATCACGCTTCGTACACAAGTGAGCGCACTTTTGTAAACATGACACATACCTTATTATCACAAAGATATAAAGATGTATTGATAGGTTTGAAAGGCTCGAAATCGATGTTGACCTTCTTTTCTTTACCTTCCTCCGTTACAATAGTTCCACAATAAATTACCAGGCCATTTGGAGGCACTAAAATGCATAAATAAATCATGATTAATATTTAATATATGAATTACAATACTTAAATGACTCAAACATAACATAATTTTGTATGTAAAACAAATGGAGCACTGTAGTTGTATATAACAGGTTCTCAAATTTTTTTTATAAACATAAATAAAAAACGTTACGTGAATAAAAACGTGGTTACCTTTAGTATATAGCTTTAGCCTATGCTGCACCGATGTGATTGCACCCAAAACAGATAATCTATTTACACGTGACTTAATGTTCGACGCTGTACCAAATTCATCCGCCAGCATCTTGCTCACTCTCGATATTTGGTCCTTTGGAGGTATGATTAACGAAATCATACTCGTTCCATTCCTACAAAGACAAACACATCATCTTCCGTCTATCGGTGCACTGCGGAGCTAATTGAGAGACAATTAAGGAGAAATCCGCTTATGTAAGGCGCGAGACCTACAAATTATTCTCCGCGGTATAAATTTCTGACGTTAACCACCCAGTGTATTTCAATGTCCATCAGTCGCGACTAAGGCGATCCTTGTGCAGAATTGAGAACACCGGAATTGCGGAACATGGTGGACGGTCAGCACATGGTCCGCCGAACCATATGTCAAGGAAATTCGCGCGGCGGTAACAGCTGACAGCGGCGAAGGCGCGACGACGTCGACCTACTTACCCCCTGGCCATCTCGAGGCTCTTTATGAGCTTCTTGATCTTCCAGATCTCGACGTTGCGGTCGGCGGAGGTCTCCTCGTTCGACATCGCTGCGGATGTGCGTGGGGACGCGTGGTCGCGGCGTTACGGCGAGCACTGCTGCCCGAGAATGCTGCTGAGAATTAATCGCTGCCGCACGCGCTCTGGTCCGCCCGCGGAGATCCGTACGTGGACTCGACGACTACGTCGACGATGGTGGTTACGGCGATGATGTCGACGGTGAGCGAGCAGGCAACGTGGCCCGCGTCGACGACGAGGAACCGTTGTCCCTGCGACGGGTTCCTCTCTGCGAAAAATTGCACGGTCGGGAGAATTATCGATATATAGTTACGAAATACCGCACCGATCCAGTTCACACCGGATTATGTCAGCCACGGGAGGAACGTGGTCGACATAGCCATTCATTCAGGGGCGGCCGCCCGTTCCGTTCGTCCGCTCTCCGTCTCTCTCTCTCCCACGCTCGCTCTCTCTTTCGCTCTTACGCTCGGTGTCGCGCGCGCGGGCATTAAACGCTCGGGTTTAAGCACGCGCCGTGCGCGGCCACCTTCGCTCACGGCTGTTACAATTGTCCGCACTCACTTTCGGGGGATCGTTACGGCGTGGTAGGTGCGTCCGACACGTCGACGTCGTTGTCGCGTCGGGACCGTTGGACCCTCTTCAGCGGCGACAGCGCGGTTCGTGACACGGCGAGTACCACGCGAGTCCGAGCCTCGGTATGCACACGTCGGCCATGCGATGGCACACAGCAGCGGAAACGTCAGTGAACCACGGTGGACGTGCCGCACGCGAGGCAAAATGGGAAGCAAAAAGACCCCGAGGCCGCCCAGTCGCGCACACACGAGCGCGCACGACCGCGAATCGCACATTCGCATTGGCCGGCGAGCGCGCGCGACTTTCGGCCGCCCTTGTATGAACATCCGGCGGTGGTGAGAGGCGCGGATTGTGGACGCGTACCAAACTTCCCTACAAAAATTCAAATTTTAGAGGCGACTGTCCGATCGAGAATTTGTCCAAGAGTTTCTAAAATTTAATTAGACAACATTAATAAGGAGATATACTTATCTATGACGCGTGAAAAAGAATATTAAATATATTATTTATAAATATTACTTCTATGATGAAACATGATTTAATCTTATATTAATTTTTGTTAGATTTATCATACAGATCCTATATGTTCTGTTTTGTTCATTCCATGAAGATATATAGAGGTTATATACTATTTCTTTCCTGTGACCGATAGCATAAAAATCATTATTTTAAATTTTACTGGTTTCGACAAAAGTTAATAGTTAACAATCTATATAAATTTGGCTTAATCTAATCACTTGATCGGTATTGTGTCCTGCACACAACGGCTAATGCTTGCCACGTGGCAAGATGCGACGTGATAACCAATGGACGTGTCATTTTTCTTTAGGAGCTGCAAGTTTATTGGCTACCGCGTTGCATTTTGCCGCGCGGTAAGCATTTCCGCGTCCAGTGCAGGAGCCCTTAAGCCGGTATCAGACTACGCATTGGAGATTGAGATACATATTCGCATATATTATTAAAATAATTTACTAAATTTTGTTTATAACAATACTTACCTGTGCATAAAATTTAATTGCACGTTTATTATTGCACGAACTTAACCTCTATCTGCTTTATCATTCTCGGTAAAAATGTCAGTAGTCATCACGTGATTAAAAAGTTGTCAAGCTATTGGCTAAGATTGAGATTGAAGATTGAAAAAATAGACGGAATTCTAATTTCCAAACTCCAATCTCAATCTTAGTCTGCTATGTTCTCATTGAGCTTCAATCTTAATCTCAATCTCCAATGCGTAGTCTGATACCGGCTTTAGTGTTGGTCCACAATAAGGATTTTAAGCCTTGAGCAGTAAAAAATAGACCAATCGTAGTCGAATATGAGAAGAATAATCGATTGTAATTGGTCGATATCTTACGGCGTAAGGCTTTAAGTCCTTATTGTGGACCGACACTTAAGGTCCACCTACAATGAGAGTAAGTCGTAAACCATAAGAAATTGACCAATCACAGCCAATTATTCTTCTCATATTCGATTGTGATTGGTCAATTTTTTTACGGCTTACAACATACTACTCTCATTGTAGATGGACCTTTAAGCTATAAAAAATTGATCATCCATAATCGAGTATTCTCTTCACATTCAGCTGTGATTGGTCAATTGTTTTTATGACTTATGGCTTACTCAGGACTAAGACTGGTTAATTTGGTTTTTGTCCAGTCTATCTAGAGAATATATTAATCGCATCATTACGATAATTTCATTTGTCATCTGCAGGATACCCCACAAGATCCATGAGTTTGGGGGCTGATTCTCTGAATAGAGATAATGCTACTAATTAAAAAGAGGAAAATGAAGAGATAATTCCAGGAACGGCGGGGGACAATCAAATGATCCTCTCGCCGCAAATGCCCCTGCGACCATTTTTTGCCGTTCAGCCAATGAATTAAAAGAGAGAGAGAGACAGGTTGCTCCATCTGTTATTTCTAGGTCGTCGTAACAGACGCGGACCATGGGCAAAAACCAAGCAAAAAGGCAATGGCGGCTACCCGTTGGACGGCCAGCGAGCTTGGCTACGTGAAAAATCTCGAAAAGATGTGATCTACGCGTCGCAATCGACAGTCATAAATTCGAGGTACGTTCCCCGCGACTCTTTCCCCTGGAGCGACGATTTTCCCGACGCGGCGGCACGCTCCGGAGCGATGCGAGTGCGGACTCGGGCAACATGTGGATCGCGAGCGATTTGCGTCAGAAAAACACGACTCGTCACGGAGGGCTTGAAAATAATCTCGACGCTCCGTGCACGAACGCAAGTCGGACTTTTCGTCACGCGATCGAACTGGACGCTGGCTCCTCGAGCTTTCGTACATTTTTTTAGCCGCAGTCCGCACCGACGCGACAGTCTTGTTTGTTAAACAAACGTCATGTGCTTGCTATGTAACACGCTTGTTTATGAAATTTGATGTACACTCGGTGGTACTGATTGTCGATTTCCAATCAGGAAACATGCGTAATATTGAATAAGACATATGAATGATTAGAAATTACTCACTTCCTGATATGTTGCTATAGACATTTTGTCTCTTGTATAAAGTTATATTTCATTGCAACGAATTTTATTGGAAACAATGTGTATTAAATATTTGTAGCTGTAATGCTTTCTTTTTCTGTTATATTAATTTTATAAGATTCAAACTGTTTATTCCAAGTTGCTTTAATTAAATTTTTGGTTTGACAGGTGAAGGTGGGGGGAGTATTGTTGCCTGCAAAGGTAGAAATGGCACATGATATATGCGGAGGATGGCTGATAGACGGATAGACTTGTTATCGAATCGATTAGACAACGAATGGTGGCCACTGGCAAGTCAATCCATAAGATACGACTGCAGGCAGGAAGGAGTAAATGAGCGAGCGCACCTAAGTAATGAGCGAGACTCGGCATTATCCTATTCGCTCGGTCTCGGACTTATACGCAGCCGAGGAAATAGAGGTGCTTCTACTAGAAGAGATACGCGATCTGGAGCCACCACCTGCCATATATTCTAAACCCGAGGACATACAAGACTTCGAAATAGGTATGTGTTTCAATGTTTCAATTAACATTTTTTTTTTTATTTATTTAATATAGTTGACGTATGGAATCTTGTTTAAAAAAAAAATTGAAACTCCATGCTATGTCACACATTTTTGTAATATCCTGACAACATAACAGTTATTAAAATTCTTATCCTGACAACATAATAGTTACTAAAATTCTAACTGCCTTATTTTATTTACTTCATTTGAAGTTGTACCTCTGTAACTGCATGTACGAATGTATATATGGTTTTGATATTACATCAATAGCAGGCAGTAGAGGGGGGCGAATCAGCTCCCAATCATCAGAGCTGGATTCGCCGGGGGTGCATTCGACGGTCCACTCTTGGGATTCGCATGCGAATTACCATGGTCACTATGGTAATAGTGATCATAGACCTGGCTCTTCGAGCGCCATGCCTTGGTCTCGCGCAAGCCATGTGGTTATTTACTGCGACATACAGGGACATCTTAAAACGCCTACGGGTGTTGTTAGACTCTTACTACTTGTGAGTGTAAAGTTTTACTTTTACGTAGAAAATGTATGACAGACTTAAAGTTTGAACTACTGAAATTGTTTTATATATTTATATTTATATATATATAGATAAATTAATGAGCGCATTTCGTAGATATCCTCTGCAGCTTGTTTGGCAACCTTATGCAGTTCTGGCACTGCCAAGGTCAGCATTCTTATGCTGCCTTTAGCAGATCGTTTACGATTCATGATCTTTGTAGCTGTTTTCTGTTTCTTGGTCACTGCAGCCCTTCTCTTCCTTGATATTTCGCATGTCATTTACATCCTTCCTTTAAATTGGGCTAAGGTGGTAAGTAATGTTTCACTACAACACATGTATGTTTCAGAAATTATATTTTTGTAATTACTTAGATATCAGTTGATGTTGTTATGTAAAAGAGTTTATTATTTTTTTTGTTTCTAGAATGCTATAGTATTCACTGGCATAGGCTTGTCATATGCTGCGAGTAGCGCATTACTAGCATGTACAGTATGGGAATACCACAGTGGAGGTTGGGTACCAAGACGCACACGTTCTCAGCTAATTGCTGCGACGGTAGTGGGACTTTTCTGTGCTCTCTTAGCGTTTTTACTGTCTTGGATACATTGTCGTAGTGGATCAAGTTGTAAAGGGCAAGATTCTCGTAGTCATACTCCGACGCAACAACTTTACAAACCCGTTGACAATTCTTCTTCCTCTGGGGTAAATAATCTGCTTGTTTTAAGGCGCGAGCTATCGAGCTAGCGATCACGGTGTAAACATAATCTAAAATGCAGGTCACTTTGAAGGAACGTAGTCCTAAGAGACCGGCTTCGTGGGCCGTGAAAAATCAGCAGTCGAAGAAGCGCAACGCGGACAGTGATACGAACACTAGTAACGGTGGCCATCGCGGTAGCAATCACGAGAAATTTAAGCAAGGCAACAGAAAGGACCATTGGGCTACGGCCAAGCAACACATTTTAGAAACGCATACGAATAACGAGGACACTCAGCGGGAGGAGAGCGAGATCGAGAGGAGACGGAGAAGACGGAGGAAAGAGGGCGATAGTAGTTCGACCGGTGACGGGAACGCGCCAGGTAGTAGTAAGGTCGACGCTTTTCGTATTATCGCGGAGGAAGTTAAAACTAGGCGAGTGCCGCCGCGAAAGTTACCTCTACAGTCTACGGTGGAGCAATCTCAGCCGTGGCCCGATGCCGAACGTAGGAATAGTGGTACTGCGCAAATTAAGAGTAAAACTAGGCGAACGCCAGTGAACAATGACGCACAGAATTGTTGTGAAATGAACGAGGCTAGGCCGATCAATCGGGTGACTCGAAACGGCCTCCGGAACTGGGAGGCGGAATGTACGTCTAGCAACGGTATAGAAGAAACTACTGATGCGAACGTGGCCGTTCGTAACGCCATGTGGCCCGGACAGTGGCGTCCACCACCAGATGATGTTCAACCTTGTTCTAGCAAAACTATCGATCCTTACAGCTTTGCCTGAACGTCTTGTGAAATACGAAGCACATACTTTAGGTAAAAAAAAAAAAAATGAACTTGTTCCAATGAGCAGTTTCTGTGAACAGTGACGTAACAAAATTTTTTATAGAATCAAGTACATCTATATATTTTACGTTGAACGTTTTCTTTGATTAAACCGCAATAGTAGTTGATGACTTACTTGTTACATAATTGAAATTTCATACTTTTTCTCGTTTGCATACAAATTCGCCTAATTTTAACACACATTTGGTATTGAATAATGTCTAGTGATTGAAGTAGAGAACTTGTATCTTGAATTTATATATGTTGCATCTGTGTTTTCAATTATGCATGAGATCGGATGTGATTTAAAATGTTAACGTAAAATATATAGATTACTACATGCAACAGGTGAAAAAGATCGTAGCCCGGACTTGTTGTAGGGCTCATCAAGTTCGTCGTTTATCGAATTTTGCAGAACGAAATTGTGTCCAAAAAATCTCAGATCTTGTATAAAATTATTGCTGCCTTGTACATTTTGCTGCCAAGAGGATAGGTTCTCTCTTTAGTTGTTCGGGTCCTGACGTTTTGCATCACAAAACCAGACTGCCCAACTTTGATAAGCAAATAATGCCACTTCATTCCAATCATGTACCAAATAATAAATTTAAGTAAGTTTTAATGGGATTTTGTAAGTATAAGACCACTATATAGCACGTAACACTAATATATATAATATATATTTGACTAATTATTTCTATCATATTTTGATGCCAACATATTTTGAGCTCCATGCATACTTGGAAAAAGCGTTTAGTACGCGTGCAGGGAGAAATCGCCTATTCTTTAAGATGAAAGTGTATATATTAAACCTTAAAAGGATTATATACATACATAGTAAAATGCAGCTAGACCGATCTTTCTATCAATCCTACATACAAAGAACGGCAGTTGCAATTACAATTTGTGACTGTAATTTGTCTATTTAAATGAAAAAACGTAATTGCAAACTCTTGAAACATAAACGCACAAGATTTCCTCTTTTATTGAAATTATATTTTAATATTATTTATCAATCGAAAATCATAATATTAATTTATTTTAAAATGCTTAAAAAGAAACTATGTCGTGATTATAAACAAAATATGGGAAAATTAAAATAGATGAAATTATAAACACTTAAGAAGTAATGCTTTTAATAAATGAAAATGTTGTATACGCGAAATTATAGAATAAATTTCTCATTTAGATTTTATTTCAAGCTTTAATTCAATTATGATCGGATAGCTTATTAATAACCAGCGATATAATATTAAAATCACGATGATATTTTATTTTGCAATGACAATATATACATATTTCACACGATGGCCTTATAGAATTTTAAATTTTTATTAAAGCACGTTTTGAGAGAAATGCTACAAATGATTTCACATGTAGAGAGAACTTTTTATTCACTTATAATAAAATTATAAGATTGATATTCTTTACATTGGAAGATCGGTTTGGCATTAGTTCCCGTATGAACAGAATAGTATGCGTGGAACGATTATTTTTTATTATATTATTCCAATTAGCTCACACTCTGAAATGTGCTCATTATATTACAATAGTATCATTGTTGCACAAGGACGGATGTACAAATGATTTAAATTACACAAGTTCCATCTAATTATAACATGTTTAAATTAAATAGTACTAATTCTATAAAATAATGCTGATATATATAATTGGTCATTTTTTTTTTATTAAATCTTAATTGAATATTTTCACGTACACACGGAAAGCATCAGATTTTTGCTGACTTATTTAAGTTACTAAAAAGAAAATAATCCGTCCCTGTTCCTGTACGCATCATTTAAATATATCTTACGTAGTTTTTTAAAATTATTAGACGAACAGTATTATTTATTGTGTTATTTGTATTAATTTTAACGAAAGAGTCTAGTCAACTCTAGTCAAGCACTTTTTTTGTACAACTATATCTTCTTAATGATCCATCAAAGAGCAAAGTATTTTTAGTACATACATATCGTGTTAGAAGTACAATTCATCCTAGAAGAAAAACTGTTGAGCGCTTGTTTCCTGATTGATAATTCCATTGAGTCTCTTTTTAATATATATAATAGCATTACATGGTCTTCAGAATTTCTCTGATATCTCGTTTCTCCTACGTTCAATGTATCACGACCATTATACGATCGAATAAATATAAACATGTTAGCTAATTATGATTAAGACAACTATTTTGTCTGGCAACAGCTATTTTGTCTTTTGATACGATGCCGCGGGTGTAAACACAAATAAATTACACATTTATCGAAACTTTGATGCGTCGACCTTAAATCAATTAATAGTGTAAGAGAAATGCGTGTTCATATAGATTCATAAAGAGAAATAGCATATAATACAGCAGCTTCGTTGTGGCAAATATAGATAGTGTCGTAACTCGTTTTGTTGGACACAATGAAATGTAGTGTGTAATTTTTCTGTATGATTCCTCGTTGGTACGCTAAAATTTGAAGGTGAAATAAGTTACATTTCGTTAGGGGTAATTAAAGTGTCACTTGGCGTAATAAGGCAATTAGCTTTGAGCTATATCAAAGTGTACAAGCACTGCCAGAGGAAATATAACGCTCTTTGAATGTAACATAATCTCTTAATGACTTTACATCCGAGGCTTGTAATTCGAATTCGTGCACATAGCGTCATATCATTTTATTTCACATTCCACATTGTTATTTGTAACAATAGATTTGTAAATACTAAAAATTTTCTCTCAAAATTTTCAAGAAGAATAAAAAAAAACGTAATTTGTCAAGTAGCGCAATGTCAGACAAGAGACAGCTAAATGGATTAAAGTCATTATTACTACAATAAAGATTAAACTATCACTTGACTTCGATAACAATTATTTGCTTCAACGAAGTTAATATAATAAATAGCAGTATGTTTGTGATACATGAGAAGCACTGTTTCCTTAGAATTTGTATGAATAAATTATCATTCAGGCAATAAATTTCGATTACGATTAATAGACGCAGATTTCTTTATATACTAAGCTCGATTGACAATGACCTGTAGTGATAGCATGACAATCCAAATCTGTATATGACCTGAGATCCTTCAAAAATCAGGCGAGCTAAAAGGAATTGATAGGGAAAATTATTGTAATTTTATTTAATCAAAGTGGGTATTTTAATGAACACATTCAATTAATTGCAGAATGTATTCTTTACGAAATATTGAAAGTCAGAAATTTAATTTCACAGAATTCCTGTCAATTCGTTTTAATTCTCCTAGCAGAATAATTTAACTGGCCTAATTCCTCATTCGCTAAATGATAGACACACACACGTGACGCGTTATATGCGTTACACGCCCCAAATACGAAGTGTTCGTCTCATTTTGATATTTCTAATGTGTTTTAATATTTATGTGGATGTATTCGGATATTAATATATATCGTGTCATTGTATTTATATATTTAGTTACATGTGAATGAATAATGTGATGCTGCCAATAATTATAGTGATCATCAATCTGTAGCGACATATTAATTGTAGGACTGTTAGGCGAATCGTGAGTCGAATGTCTTTGCAGAAGTCTGAAAATGGATTTGAAATAAAAATAAGACGGCCGGACTGGTTACCAAGTGTGACGCAAATATCATGCGACATAGTGTCTTGGCGATTTGTCGAGCCGATAGCGAATGATCTAGACAATAAATGATTCATGAGTCACGTAACACCTAAGTTATAGCATTATCACATATTCTTTTAAATGTCATTTTGTACATCTAAGGGTAAATGGAACGGCGAGTATTATACACTATTGACTTGTGCGGAGTTGTGCGTGTGATTTTGTGTATGTTACTTAACAATATATCACAAACCTAGTCAGAGTGAACCTTGTGTAATGTTACTTGAACGGAACAATGTACATTTGTTAGTAAATGCGTTAAACACGGCGACAGCTAAGTATATAACATTATATTTTGCGCATATGCCATTGGAAAAAAAAATCATTGTCACGCAATCGTCCGAAATACAAACGGAATTATCAAAATCGTTACGCGATCTATTGAACTTCACAAGAGCTACGCCTTATGAGGAATCGGAATATAACTAATCTAACAGGAAATGTATATTTAAATCGTTGCAGTAATCTTTCGATACAATACTTCCAAATCAATCCATAATAATTATTTTCAACGCGAAGACAAGGCTAATGCAAAATATTTAGAACATTTAGAGTAAGATTCATATATCGAGCTTATATACATGATATTAATGTGAATGAATTTCCAACATTTTTATCGTTACTGTTATATTAGTCAATTCTTCAAATTCATATATTCGAAGATATCACATGGTAATTAAGAGGAATATTATTACTTGCGTGTACAACGTCAATGGAACTTCTCATCGAATTAATGTGGGAAAATCACTCAATTGTTGAGATCCAAGTCATTGCGTTCAGTCACCTTCAATTTTCCAACTATGTCTTCCAAGTTTTTACGACGTACGCAATACTTTGTCTGATCGCTTCCGCTCGGCATAGAGGAATAAGGATACACGTGTCCGACGTAGCGATGAATCCAGCCGCTTGAAGAATGAAGAAATTGAAAAAAATTTTACATAAATACGACATGTCAGTGTCGAACATAAAAAAGACATATTTCCGATATACTTCGGTCGTTGAGCATATAAACGGCTTACCTTTGATCTCGAGCATATAGAGGCGAAGTCTGTAACAATATCCGGTAAGTGAACGTGTTCTGGACTTTTACTTACGTCTCTCTATATCTTCTTACCTGACGTTGGAGTCTTAATTGCTTCAGTAATAAATATTTACAGATGGATTTTGTCCAACTGTACTGATCACAGTGCACGCTCGATAATCCAGATAGATCCGCCGGATACCTCGAAAATTCCGGTCTCGTCGGCAAATGACACTGTTGGTGAAGCAGGTGTTGCTGCTGGCATATGTAATTCGAATAATACGGATCATCATAGGCTATTAAATGATCCGAGGGAGATGCTAAAGAATTCGATATTGCAACTGTAACAAAATTTAAGTAATCAATATATTTAACACTTTTTTTATGTTTGATTTAATCACCATAATTTATTTTGTTCCATACAAAGTACACTGAAGCATGTCCGAAGGATTGCTCAACAGAATATTTTATGTACATATATAAAATATTTGTTTCTAAAATTAACCTTTCGCTCTTTGAACATTCAATAACGTGTCGTAATATCGTTTCTTGTATGCAGCTAGTTGAAACATCGAGCGAGCTTGAAAATTATTTGCTGAATTTACATTATCCGAATTTGAGTCTACCACTTTGCATCTGAATTAGAAATCGTTTTATTATTATTATTTGTTGTGCGCATGATTTAAATGATCAATGAATAATAATTATTTATAAATAATTATATACAAATTTACCCATGTCTTGATTTTTCCGTATTTTTCTCTTTGCATACGAATGTGCATCCCTCTTTCTTTTCCATATCATAATGTAAATTATTTTGTTGTATTTGCAGTTCATTTTTACGAGTTCTTTTATTGAATTCCTGAGAAGTGTATTTCTTTTGTAATCCGTTATCATAAACTTTTTGTTTTGTCCTTTTAATCGATTCTTTCTGATTTTTTTCTACGTTAATAACTGTGTTTTGCTGTTTTAATAGTAAGCAGCTGTTACTATCGCTATTTGTGACATTAGATGTACAAGTTTGTCTTAAAACTTTTGGTGGTGTTCCAGATTTTAGGTCTTTCGGTGTAAAACGTACCAAATTTAAGGAGCCCACCTGTGGATGCGACCTGATGCGTGGAAAGGCCGACAATTCTGTATGCATATATGAGAAATTACATTTATAATTTTGTATGTTATCTATAATTAAAATATATATAAAATAAATCGATAAAATGAATAATATTACCAATGGAAATTCCTTCTTGCGCTCGTTTCAAAAAATTGCTCAAGCTTGTTTTAAGTCTATCGTTCGGGGTTGGTAAAAGATCATCCGCCTGTAAAATTTAATTAATTTAATTTTGTATATAGAATATATAAACTAAACTAAAATATTTCGTTTAATACGTTTATGATAATGTCCTGATCTTCGTCCCAACACACATTCGTTTTATGTATATCATCTTTAATTGTCTGCGTAGTTGTTGCGTTTTGGCCAATATCGATTATCATGTGTGAAACGCCAGGTTTTTTATCTATATCAAGTGCATCTTCATATTTTTTATATTTAACGTCATTAAATTGTCGAGGAATCTTATTTTGCGATAAATTTTCTATTATCTCAGTATTATTATACATCTTCATGGAGCGTGTATCCTAAAATTTATTAATGCCTTGTAAGTTAAATTGAAGTTTATTTCTCGATTTCTTTATTTTTAATGTACGAGATTTGATATACCATCTGAGACGAGTGACAAAGATGTGATTCAGCAGAGGTATTGTACATATTAATTCCAGCAGGTATGTAATATTTTTTATCAAGCAGATATTGTTGATAAGGCAACATTTGATGCTTATTATTTCTCTCCAGCTCGTTCTTTGAATTATTGTTTAGATAATAACTCGATGAATTCTGTTAACGAATAGAAGTTAAACTGACATCAGCTATAATTTCTAAATGAAAAATCGCATTATATAATTTTGCAAAGATAGATTACGTTTTTTATATAACTTGGAATCATAGAAATTTCACTCTGGGAAAAACCTCGAAAAGGAAAAGCTTCGGAAAGCGACGACTTGAAATTCGACGTATTCTTATCACATAAAAAATTTTGCTTTGGTAATGAAATATCCGTTACTTGGTCCATGTTTTTAGTACCAAATATATTTTGACACGTATTGCTGTCGAGCATAATATGAGATATGAAATTATATAATAAAAAGTTATATAATATGTAATATGAGATATGAAATTATATAATAAAAATAATACATCGCAAAGGAGTGGAGAGCTTACTTTTCCTGCTGATTAAGTTTAATAAAACCTGTAGTTGTACGAAACACTTTTTTAATCGTGTGATCTGGTACATTGTCTGGGGAAGGAATCATTGAGAGCAGTAGCTGCTTTTTTTGAAAATCACTGTCTTCCAGTAAAGCTTGGACTTTTCTCAGTACACGTTCATATGCATTAATACCATCTTTCGGTTGATACATACGCAATAATTGCGTGATTATATTTGAAATGTTGCTCCCCTCGTAATCGTGTTGTATGGCTGAATATAACGATGAAAAATCTATCGTTGATGCAACGGTATCAGTGCCGCTTGTACTTTCTAATTACAGAATATTTTGATTAATTTTTTATTGAAATAAATTAAATTTTATATTTTTTTATAATAATTTTATTTTCCTCTAGAAAAATAATTTTAAAATTCTAATTCTGTATATAATTATCATACCTAATTATTTCTATTTATTCCTATCCTAAGATACTGTTTGACCAAAATAAATATGGAATAAATAAAATTGACAACCGCCATGTATACAACTATTTTTATTTCTAAATATTTATACTGAAATATGTTACTCACGCTGTTCAAAATTATCCATGCTTATAACGACATAAGACTCAAGTTGAAAAGAGAGTGATAAATTGTTTCCAACGACTTTAGATATCCTATTAAATTCGACGAGTCAAAAGGTATTCGTGAAATAATTGAAGTATTTCCATTATTGAAAACAGCTGACGAATGCAATATACACGGCTCATTTGTAAAACGATTAAAATCCGATCGCGTCCGTAAAATATGCTATTTATATACATAGTGAACATAAAAATAAGTGACTCAGAATGGATTGGAGAGGAAAAAAAATTAAATTTACGATATTACGGCTGCATTTTTCTTTTAAGTAAATGTTATACGCAGTAATAATGTTGCTCAATATCTTTCTTTCATTCGGTATTCTCCCTTTGAGAATGTACGATTATCTCCACTGTTTAAAATAAACATACTTACGCTTTTAAGAAGGAAATCGCATTTCTCTAAGAAGAAATTGTATCAGCTAATTAAAACACAACTGTAAGTTCTGCATGTAGCGAGCGGATTATTTTAATGAGTCTCCGTTGCGGGGCTTGGACCGCAGCATTCTCCATGCGGATAATCCCGAGGACTTTGCAAGGATTATTGATCAATGGTTATTATAAAAGCGAATTCATGGCGTAGACCACGTTATACTTAGTGCAATGCCCCGACAGAAAGCACTTCTACTTTCCACCTGCCTGTTGGCACTCGTGGCCAGTTTAACTCTGGCACTTCCACCCGGGGCACCATGGACGAGCTTTGTGTCTAAACCTGGTAATATATTTTTTTTTCTTTTTGTTACTCTGTGTAAAACATATAAATAAATTGTACAGAAAATTATTAATTATTTAAAGAGAATTTTGCTATTCATTTAAAGAAATTAGATTTCTTATTTTTCAAAATGTCTTTTAAATACAAATTCAAATCTTCTAAATATTGAATATGAAGCAGAAAACTAAATTTTAAATAAGAAACTTATATTAATTACTTTCTATTTAAAAAATTTAAGATATTACAAAATAGATATAAAAAAAGAACGATTTGATAATTTTAAATATAAATTTTGTATCAATCCTTTTTAATTCATTAATGTTTTTTTAATCATACGTAAAAGATACGATTAAATATCGCACCGATCATTAATTTGAAATTTGTAGTTTATTCACGAGCTCTCGGACCTCCAGGAGGAATAGACACGATATCCATACCTTACATGCCAAAATCCCCGTTCATGCCAAAGTTTGTCGACCCGAAGACATTTATTTCTAAAAAGACGGATATGCTGAGTAACTTGTTCGGCGGTGTGGGACCAGTTGCGTATAACGTGGCAGATACCAAACCGATCATACCGTACGGCGTAAGCGGACCATCTTTCGATAGCACTGATAGTGCAAATGCATTATTTAGCAAACGAGACATATTACAAGATGATAAAGGAAAAATTATCGACGGTAGCGTTATGCATAAACGCAGTATGTTTGGTCCGTTTGCCCCAAAATTCGGCCCGATGGGTCCGATGGGTCCAGTGGGTCCGAAATTCGGACCCGTCTCGCCGTTTGCATCACCAGGAATGATGCCGGATTTCATGGATAAAGCATCTTTCTCACGCAAAAGGAGAAGCATAGAAGCGCCTTCTTCCGCGGGCAATACCATTCCAGGCTTGTCATCTTATCCGAAGGTAGTAGAAGGTATGTCGGCAACAAAACCGGCCGCCGATGATACGCCAAAGGAATACTTGCCGCCGGGCATGTTCGGACCCTTTGGACCCGGTGGTCCCTTTGGACCAGGTGGACCTTTCGGGCCAAGCAGTTCATTCGGACCAGTAGTGGACCCGAGCGCGATCATCTCGAAGAAATCGGAATTCCTGGACACGCTCTTCAAAAATCTTGCCACCAGCACTGCGGCGCCAGCGACCGACGTACCTCCGCCGAAAAGCGCTATCGTGCCACCCAGCTTCTGGATACCATCCTCCGTGATTCCCGGGCCGACCGAGTACACCCAGAAGGTGTCTGACTTTCTGGACAAGCTGTTCGACAGTATAAATATAACCGCGACAGAGACGAGCGACGGTTCGGACGCAAAAAGCGATTTTGCGAGGTCTCTGAAACCCGACGACATTTCACCGGCCAAATTTGCAAGATCCTTGGACGATGCGTCGTCCGTCGCAGCCGCTAAAGATGCAATGGTCGACGCGATACTGTCGGAGCTCGGTGACTTGAAAGGTGACATGATAGCGACTTTGAACGATCTGATCGCGTATGAAAAGACCGCGGCAGCCGCTGCCGCCACTGCGAAGAAACCTTTTAAGCCGCCTTTCGCTGGCATATTTCCGTTTGCGAAACCGACAGTGGATCCAACGCTTCCGTTTCAGCAGAGAATGACCGTACTCAGCCAAGTATTTGATATGCTGACGGAGCTGCAAAGGAATATCAGTGCGGTCGCGAAAAGCGCGGTGGCCGCTAATGCTAGCAATCCAGATAATCCGGAATTGCCGAAGGTTCCATTAGCTAATGACGCAGCTGGCGCTTCGCCGATTAACAACACTCTTTTGAACGCTATTTTGAAGAAAATATCCGAAACTCCGGCTTCTTATTCGGCTCCTTATCCAGCTTCATATCCAGCTTCTTATTCAGCTTCTTATCCAGTAAATCCCGTCAAAGAGAGTCCTATAATGAGCAGAGCTTTGCCCAAAGAACCAACATCTTTCTGGGTGTCTTATCCGGATAATTCGGCGTCTGCTGTAAAACGACAAGTGGACGATGATTCGCTATCGTACTTCGGATATGAAAACGATGATGACCGGCGTGATCATAGACAATACAAAAGAGGTGTACAAATGCAGATGCATCAGGGCTACCAGAGTCTACCCGCAGGTTCGGTGGAATCTGTACAAGCAGGCGGAGGTTCTACACCTGGGCATCAAGGAGGAGGAATCAAGTTGCTGGTAAGTGCGATTTTATTTTAAAAGATAAATAATTTTAGTAATAATTAACTGAAACATCAAAAAGGAAAAAGCAATTTGAATCGTTAATTATAAAAGCATATAAATTAAATTTCACACAGAAATTTTGCTATGTACAACTTTGACATTTAAAGTATTTCTTACTAAAATTTACAATTTGTAATATATAATTGAAATTTATTATAATAATTCATAATAATAAATTATCTTAAAATGAAGAAGATTCGGAAAGTTCTACAATTTAATTACAACTACAGTTCTAAAATTCTATAAATAAGTAAATCTCTCAGAATTATAAATTCTATAAATAATTTGTTGTAATTGTGACACTCTACATTCAACAAATGCTGTATTAATTGGATAGTTATTACTAATTGATTTATATTATTCTCTTCTCAATGTTTCAGTTATTATTATATAATAATTAGATATTGGAATATTATTTTAATATTATCATTAACGCCATGCTATTATTAACCTTTTGCATTTTCTTCCTCCTTTTAATCTACGAATGTCACGTTGTTTATAAAATGTATAGGAATCTCTCGCCGTTAGTACAAAAAAAGAAACATGCTCGTATGAGAGATGATTCCTAATGTCCTTTATCATTTTTTAAATCTATCTCTAAGAACTTTATACGAAATTTATAACTTATTCGAAATATTAAGAAATCACAAAAGTGAAATTAATTATTATAACAAAAATAATAAATAAGTTATTCGATAATTTAATGAAAGGCAATGTGCATATATACAATTTTATGTCGAATATATAACGCGCTATATATAATACCTTGGAAGCCTATGTACAAAATTATTACAACGAAAACGGGGTATAGAAAGTTATATAATCAACTAACATTTTTCGCCGAAGAGCTCTTTGTTCTCTATATTATAATCGAGTAACACTCGCACGAAACTATAAAATATAATAACCTGATTTGCTTTCAGATTCAAATGCCTAAATTGCCTAACTCTCAAGCTCCAGGCTTTCAAAGTATTAATTACAGTTAAGTACGTGCAAAATGTCTTTGAATTGTGAATATCGCGGACGTCTGTTCGTCTGTCGCAGGGGCCAAACGCTTACGGAAACTCGAACAAATGGGCTGACTGGATGCAGTATCACAAGAATGAGTATCAAGATCGTAGGCACCATCATAACCACCATTAGGCCACTCAGCCAGCAGGAGTATTTCTTTCACTTATATATATTTACATTAGTCCTCAATGAGAAATCTTTTAAAAATGTTGTTATCCAAAGCGTATAAGTAAACGTGTAAACGATATTAATCGATTATTTCCAATAAAATATATTTGGCAGAAGAAGATAAAAGAGAAACGAAAATGTTACAGAATCATTTAAAATCATCTGCGATACGTAATATCGAGACATGATATACGAAGAATGAATTTAAAATGCCGGATTTATTGTATCGTTCCTTTTTTTTTTCATTAACCACAATACACAGTATACTTTTTCTATGTATACGTACCGAAGGATATGAAAGGTGAATGCTCTTTCCGATAGTACCTAGTCTATTCTCTATGTAATCGTATTCTAATAATAGCAGTAATACGCTGATGTGCCCATTAGTCGCGCAGACAGACCGCGACACACGGACGCAATCCTGCATCAAGTGCGTTGCTTTGTTCGTCAATCAGCAATGCATTGCACGCAGGGTAGCGTTAGTGTGTTAGGAAGCATCACACAGTTTGGTTACGCGACATAGCGCTCTATATAAGAGAGGGGTGTACATTATCATCTAACATCAATATCAAATTGAAGAAGTGGAGAGACGAGTTTCTTTACTTCGGTACGAAAAATGTTACTTATAATACTCGCTAGATATACCTGATTTCATTTTTTTTTTTAACCCTTGTTACACTTTCATACAAAATTGTGGAAATATTGGCAGTATCGTGGTAAGTATAGACTTGTATATTGCCCGTTTCCTGTCTTTAACAGTTCGAAAATCGTTAGAGATGCGGATATCCTATATTCCGTAAGTAACGAGCCACTTTCCGATTCGTCGCAAAAGCGAAGTATTCTTACGACTTTGGTACTTTGCTATTGATTGTACTATACACCCTTAAGAGTGAGTCACTATCATCTGCCTTTCGTGACTCGAGTGATGAGATACTCCATTTGTTGATCAATACGGAATACCATGTAAAATGACGCTAGTATACTACCCAACGTTACCATGAATCCTAATCCCTCGAATATTAGCTTTGGCGCGAATATCTTCCAAACCATTAAATGCCGACAGTGTATAGTTGCTGCGAGCATGCTGCCGAAAGTCTGAAAAATAAATATCACAATTGACGATAATAAATATATATGTCTCTGAATGCATTTCTTTTAGAGAAGAACAAAACAATTTAAATTTTAATGTCACACATTTTATGCAACGTACCCGAATTCCATGAAGCAACGTGTACTTTCCTGCAGTCGCGAAAATTGCAGCGTGAAAAGCAGAATCCTGTTCGAACAGGAGAAGTTCGCCCCTCTTAATATCATCGAAAAATTTCGCTTTGAGAAACTTTGGAAATACCCGATGCAACGTAAATGGCACGATCACTAATAGTGGTAGTGTTGCACCCAATATAATATGCGATCCGAATGTATTAATACCTGAAAAAAAAAAAAAAAAATCATTTTATCAGAGAACTTTAGCCTGTGAAAATTTTAACGAGACTGTATTAACATACTCACCGATTAAAATTGCTGACACTAAGTTTCCGTAAAAGTGACCACCAGTTCCTACGAAGGCGGCGTGCCAGTGAATGGTAGGAAATGTCGCCTGATGGCCAGTTCCATAAAAGAAATATTCAGCCAGCAGGAACCAGCAAAGTAACACCGGCATCGATACGTCAACTAGCTCAGCTGTATGAAACAATGAAAATGAAACATTAAAAAAAATTAAGGATCTAATTATATACAAGTAATATATGTATTCTCTTGTATACTGTACATACTTACAAATATTGCTAGCATTTTTGTATCTCTCTATCGCGGATAAGCCCAATATACAAGCGCACGCTATAAACATCAAAAATGTACCAGGCGACAGAGTATCTCCCAACAATAGCGCGTACAGAAGCGTGAGGAATACGCTCAACGAGATAAATGCAGCGCTGTAGGCAGTCGCGAAACCGTAAATCACCGGGAGCTCGTCGGTGTCTATTCGTTTGCGGGAAATGGTGTCTTTTATCTTTTCGAATAATCGAGGCACTATGTTTTCATCACGGTAGACGTCGATGGACTCCTTCTTCTTTGGCAGCAAGTATATGCTAAGCGGACGATAGTAGAGGACGAGAGTCGCGAGGACGCAGAAGAAGTAAACCATATTGGGTAGCGTGTTGATCTCCCAGGAGAGCGCGAGCTTCGGCTTGATGAACTTCGGGAGCTTTTGGAAAATCCAGTAGCAGCCCATGCAAACGCTCACGATGACCGGGCAGTACTGCCCCACCATGACGCTGGGGGCGAAGCCCGCGAGATTTCCGCAGCTTTGCAGCCACAGTCTGACTATCACCACGTACAACGCCAGGATGACCAGAGCGAGTAGAACGGCGGGCAGAGCGCGCTCCCAGTTGTTCGACACCGTGGACCAGCCAACTTTACCGGTTGCGAATATAGAGCATTCCCGTTGTAGATGCTCCTCTCGGCAGCGCCAGAAATAATGCGACAGCCTCACCGCGACGCACGCCAGCAGACCGATGACTAGCACAATCGTCCTGAAATTTGATTTTGTCGGCTTCGAAGTGAATCTTGTCTTCCTCTCGGAGATACCATCGGAATCGTTCTTCCTCAGGTCGAACATGAGCAGGCAAACGAGTGTGACGAACAGGAAGGATAAGACCTTGTCCTCCTCGACTATGTAACTGTTGGAGAAGAGCCCGCATACCGTCAGAAGCAGTATTATCCTAGCCACGTAGGTCAACAGCTTGATCCGACGATGGTCGTACCAGCACATCGATATGACGTCCCAATTTTGAGCGATCACTATGACCAGCAGACCAATGGAAACTGCGCCGGTGACGAACAAGGTCGTATTCCTCAATTCCTCTAGAATGTTCAACAGGAACAAGCACGTGGTAATCGCCGCGGTAGCTAAATTCGCTATAATGGCACATTGCAGAAATGAGGATTTGAATATATCGCACATGCGACTCTCGGGGATGCCGGTGATGAAGAGGTAAAAGAAAAACAGGGAGCAAAACATCAGAAGTAAACCCTTGGAAATTAGTCCGGAGTCAAATTGGACCCACACCTCGGAACACGTGTCCTTCAATAATTTAAAGTAACCTTTGGTATCCCGAATGAACGCCTCCAGCTTTTCGAAACTATCGACCTGCTTAACACGCTCGGAGAGAAGACTGTATATGTAATGCAAATGCTGCAGCTGCTCCTTCGAGAACAGATACGTGTCTGCAGAATATATCTCTATGTACTTTTTCGTCTGGGCGATGTTCCGCCAGAGAGAGTGTAACAGATACAATAATTGACCGGCGGCCACCTCCTCCGCTTTGCTTGGCAAACAATCGAGTATCACGGATCCTAGATTGGAGAAGGGAATCGGCGTGCCGAGGATCGACGCCAGAGTGGGAACGAGATCGATTTGATTAACGCTGTCGCCGTCGTCGATCGCGAATCCATTCAACAGCGGAGTCGTCGAGTAAACGAACATCGCGGCCTCGACTTCGTTCGGGCTGTCGCCGCCGTGATCCCCGGTCTCGGTCATACCGTGATCCCCGACGACAAAGAGTATCATGTCCCTCTCGAGAGACGCCACGATCTCTTTTATAAGCGTATTCGTGTCGTTCAGCTTCCTCGTCATCTCCGGATGCCGCATGCCGTGCTTGTGCCCGCAGTGATCGACCCCGAGGGTGTGCGCTATCAGCAGCGACCAGTCCTTCTTCTTCAGCTCGAAGAAAATGCGATACTGAACGTCCTTGTCCACGCTGTCCAGATCCCAGACGTTGAACGACGGCGAGGGGAACTGCCTCATGAATTTGTCCGGGAATAGATTGGTCCACGTGTCGTCTCCCATGAAAACGACACCCCCGGCGGCGTTTTGGTCAATGAGATTGTCCTCCTGGATGTACTCCGAGGCGAAGTTGGAGCCCACCTCTATGAAGGTGGGCAGGGAGCCGGTGGTGAGACCCTTGAGGCGCTGCATGGTCGTTGTAGGTGGATCGGCCACGAATCTGTACAGGCGGGAGTGCGACGGATACCTTTGCAGGAGCTCGTGAATCACGGGCAACTTGTTGCGATGGTAGGTGGTGGACGCGGCGGCGTTGTCGTCCTCCGCGTGCCACTCCGCGAACTCGTACTTCAGGGCGTCGACGATGAGCAGCACGACCCGCGCGCGGCGCTCCAGGCACACCTTCGCGGCGCGCTCCGTGTCCTGGAGGAGGTCGCCCGTCGCGCGGCAGTCGCCAGAGGCCGTCGTGCACCGCGCGCACTCGGCCCGCTCCGGCCGGGAGACGCGGTTGAGGAGGAAGCCGCTGGTGAAGATCAGCAGGCCGGCCGCCATCAGGTAGGACATCCACGCCTGAAACACCAGGTAGTTCCACAGCCGGCTCATCGTTCTCGCGTCTCTCGGGGATCAGTGCTGCTGCTCCCGGATGTCGTTCACTGCTGCAGGCGGCACCACAACAACAACACGGTCGGGCTGGGGACAACACCGGCGGGAACTTAACCTACCACGGCACGCCGGTAGTCCGTTCTCCACCATCTCGTCGTTGCGTCTCAGGACACGCGATCCGGCCGCGGTATTGTTTTTGGCGCCGCGTTAAATGCGAGGGACATCCAATCGATAATTTATGTGTCGCGCGGGTCCGCACGATCCAGACGACCTAACCTCAAACCTCGCCTCGGCCCACTACGTGGAGCGGATCGCATCGGTTCTCTCTCGCCACGTGCAACGTCCGGCTCCGCCTGGACGACGAATCCTCGAGGCCCGCCGCGAGTCGATTTGAGTGAGGATTGACCGAAGTGCACACCACCGTGAAGACCTCTCTCTCGCGCCTCGTCCACCTCCTGTCTCTCACCTCCATGGTCTACATTCCGGCGCAAACGGCAGTCCGCCGCTGATTTACGCATGCGTGGAAATAGTCCCTTTATCGAGAGAAGAAAAAAAAACTGAAGTTACTGGAAAGCCCGCTCCCGCTTGTGTGCCGTGCTATAATCCGTACGCTGGTATGCTGTGTTGCTCCGCTCTACGCTGATTCGAAGCTCCTGAAAACAGCGTCAGCGAGAAGTAGTTCGATTAGCCTCGGTATTCGTATTTAGCAGGGCGAAGGAGTGAGTTTCTCTCACGTTATTCCCACGCGTTTGACGTGTCCCACACGATCGTGCCTTCGATCCGTCGTAGACGTGAGTGTGAACGGGACGAACGCGTCGAGTCTGCTGTTCCTAACCTCTCCGTCGGCCAGACGATATCGTATACTGGGCGTTCTGTTTACCAAAAAGCTTTGTTACCCAAGAAGAAAGGAAGTTCTTTTTTTCCCCCCCCAGTGTAGTCTATTGGCGATTTTATCTATCGTCATTAACTGTACATATATTTTGTGACATAACCGTTAATTCGCGCACTGCGGGATCGCTTTTTATTCATAAATATTGTTCACTAGGAGTCACCATGACAGGTGGAAACACCGCCGAAAAGTCGGCTAATAATCCTCTGGAGCAGTTCGTGCTGCTTGCGAAAACGGCGAAAGGCGCCGCCGCGATAGAGCTCATAAGGCAGGCCGTCGAGACGCCCGGCGTTCATGTCTTCGGCGAGTTGCTGGACATGCCGAACATCAAAGAACTAGAAAACGGACCGTACGTCCAGTACTGGAATACCCTGAATCTATTCGCGTACGGCACCTACAAAGATTACCTGGAGAACAAGGAGAAAGTACTAGATTTAACTCCCACGCAGAAAAAGAAGCTCCAGCATCTCACAATCGTCACTCTGGCTACGAAAAACAAATGTATACCCTACTCGGTGCTACTGGAGGAGCTGGACATAAAGAACGTCAGAGATCTGGAGGACTTGATTATCGAAGCGATATACGCCGACATAATCCACGGAAAGTTGGATCAGAAGAATTCACAGTTAGAGGTGGATTACGCCGGTCTAGGACGAGACGTTCGGCCAGGCGATACCGGTGTGGTAGCCGAAACGTTAGCCGCCTGGGGCGAGGCGTGCGACACGGTTCTGTCGTGTATCGAGCAGCAAATATCTAGAGCTAATGTCGAGAAACAAAAGGCTACTTATCACAAAGAAAGAATACAAAGAGATGTGAGTCACTCTCCTTTTTTTTTGTCTTTTTATTTAACTGTTTTACATACTTTTAGGAAATTGATTAAATATATAATGAATATATTTTTTTTCTGTCGCTTTCTAGATTACCAATATAAAGAAATCCCTTGCGGCTCAAGCTGGAGGTGGAGGCATTCAAGAGGCTGATATGGCTGGTGGTAGTTCTGGTGCGGGAGGAAGCGAAGCGGGTAGAGAAGCCATGCCGGTACTGACAGAAAAGAAGAAGTTACAGAAAGTCAAATGTATCAAAGTCAGTGGTAAGTTTTGGAAGACATAAACACAGTAGTCTCTTTTCCTGCGCAATGCATACTTTTCCCATCGTTCATCCGTTCGTTGAGTCGGATACTATACTTCGAATTTGTTATAAATCGTGGCTAAACTGCGGCTATTAAAAAATTAAATTGGAACGTGTGTATGAAGAAGATATTGAACACTCTTGTGTCAACTTTTTTTTTTTAGATTATGAAATGAATGATGAATGAAAAGATTATGAGTGAGAAGGGTAACATTGAAACGAATTTATTAATTATTAAAATATAATCCAAATGCCGAATCGAGAATCCTTTATGTAATCTGAAATATTGAGTTTGTAGAGACTTTTAAAAGCAAAGTAGGGAAATTTTATACAACGTGTTCTAAGTATATAGCATCGAATTGTATACAAATATGTACTTGATTTAGTGATATTTATGGACTCAATGTTATAATAACGAATAAAATCAAGAGTACTTTTTCCTATTAAAATACATTTGTAAGATTGATTTATTGACACACATAAGAAAGCCTTTCAGAAAAACCGACATTTGAATATAAATTTCCACTTTAATAACTGCAAATATATACATAGCCGAAAATGTAGAAAAGGCGATAGATTCATACTTCTACTGTGATCATTTTAAACATCACAACTAGTATTTGTTGTATAAGCCATTTCAGTACTGTTGTTAGCATAAAATTTAGCGTTTATTCACGGAAATTGATTGTTTATTTATTTACATTGAACACAAAGTAATAATATGTACGAGGTATACGTAACGAGATATATGTGATGATTGTCTTTACATCGAGCATTTGAAAAAAAAAAAAAAAAAAAAAAAACAATGAATCTTTTCTTTGTGACAAAGATAATTTTGTAGGTAAGCTTGAATATTCTTGTAATATACCTGTTTATTTTTTTTAGACCAAAGACATCATGTTTTGTGTTTGTAGGGCGTGAAGAATTTAATTAGGATTTGACGATTCTCTAGATGAATTTGATAAATAGTGCAACGTGTATTGCATATTTATCAATGCATACGTGCCTACCCATTGCCAGTTATCACATAAAAAACGGTATGCCCATTGTGACGAGTTGGCTTACGTGTACTTCCAACACTAGTACCATTCGTACTGTTTGCGTTCAGGCTTTACAGATTCTCGTTTCGTAAGGATTTGTAGTCGCTAAACGATTTACTGACGGAACAATGCGTAACTAGTCGGAGAGGTCGTTTTTGAAGAAAACTTGTATATTCAAAAAAATTGTAAAGGTATGCCACTGATGTAGTTTAGCAAAGAAAAATGTCAGTCGTCCGTTAAAGCGTTGTAATTGCTATTCGAATAAAAAGATAATATATTTTAGCGAGGCTTTTTCTATTTTTTTGTACCCTTAATGCCTCTCTCTTTCTCTCTCCTTCATATTTATAAAGTAAGTTGCTAGAAAACATGTTAGGTTTTAAAAATTGCACAAATTGTAGGTGTGCAATATTGTAGGACGACATAAAACTATGTGCTGTTTTAATAAGAATTTTAATAGAAGGTATCTGTACGTTTTTATACATATTCAGCTAAAATTTTCTGCATTTACATTTATATTTTGAATTTTCCCCGGTTCGTGTCGTAGATACATTTTCTATGATGTTCTTTTTTTTTGTTTTAAATTTATTTACGAATGTGGAAGCAAATTATGTAAGTGATGTCAATTATGCAAACGAACTCTTAGTTAGAAATTTAGTCGTATAATTTCAGTGTTTTTTTTGGTTTCCTTTTCAATGTGTATTTTATGTGTATATGTATATATACATATTATATACATGTATACATATACACATACATATTTTTATGATTTGAAATATAAGTCATCAATCATACGTCTAATCGGGATTTTCAGGATCTGCTACTGATCCACTAATGGTCGATGGAACAAGTTGGGAATAGCCGAGAATGAATTAGGTGAAACCTTGTGGAGCATACCAAGTCGTTCGGATATTCTCTCTCTTCCCCCTCCCCTTTTTTCTCTTTCTCTCTTCCTTTCCGCAATTTTGCAGATGATTTCGATGTTACAAACGTTTCTTTCCTGTAATCTTTGTAACTTTTAAAAATAAATGATATCTTTGAATTGTCTTATATTGTAAGTCGCATTAAGAAAAATAAAATCACGATGACCAAAGTTTGGTTTTTCTTTCCTCCATAAAAAAACCGTCTCAAAAAAGAGAGAAATAGTACGCAACAATTACATTCGTAAATTTTATTTTTTCAACTTTCATTTTGATGAGTACATTACGCTATTACTATATCTCCTCTCTACTTTAATTTATAACGTATTTAAAATATCTTAAGTCGTGAAACGTGTGTGTATACATCGCATAATATCATTCACGCGGCTTTGTTAATATTTAAAAAGATATAATTAAATTGGTTCCATATAGAGCTAACACAATACATTCTTATTTATATTTACGATATTATATGCGTATGTACAATTATTCATTTATAGTATGTATATATGTACATACATATAACTGTGAGGAATATCTGTCGAGGAACGTCGACATTTTCCTGCATATTGGCTTTTACATATAATTTTGATTTTTATAAATCTTAACATACCCATTGCTCACCATATCGGATTGGTGACTCTGATCGGTTACATGAAAGGATCAATTAAAAAAAAAAAATGAAAAGAAGTGAATAATTGTCATTTTTACGTAGTGACTATTGCAGCGGAATCATCACATCGAGACAGAGTCCGTTTCAGACACGTGGGCAGTGAATGTGTTAAATATTATTTGAGTAAAGTGTACAATGTACAACGAATGTACACATTGAAAAATTTATTCGATACGATAACACGCGAGTACTAAATTTTATTCTCTCTTTCTTAATAGTTTCCTAGTTCAATATTATGTTATCTTACTATTCAAATTAAAATTTATATAGCGGACGACACAAATGTGAATATGCATTAAATATAAGATTTACTTTTATTTAAAGCCTAATGAAAAAAAGAAAATAGAAAAAATCGACACATTTGTTTCATTTTGAAGCGGCACAATTTAACATAGCTACTTTCATGTTAATGTACTTATGTGCAGAGAATTTGAGATTTATGATTTCAATCATGGCGATAAATCATGGATAATGATTTACAAGTACGCATTTGATTACAATTGATTACATTTCTTTTGACATATATGTATACGAATAAATCACAGATAGATTGATGGCAATTGTAAATGATTCAATGCAGCATTGAAAGATTTTTACAGCAAAATATATAGTAGTTTAGTACGATGATGTATAGAGACGATATGTTTACCGCGAATAGAATATATCTAATCTTACACGAAAATTAATAGTCTCCCATATCATCAATAAGAATTTGTATTTTACAATACATTTAATTGAATTCTGATTAAATTGAATTCTAATGACAAGAATTACATTTTTCAAAATTAATTATGCGCTAATACATTATTATGATATTATGCAATTTGCACATGTTTTTCCTACGAAGAGCAATTCCTATAGTTTGCAGAAAATGTTCCTAAACAATAAATTTAATATTATATTTAATATTAGCCTATAATAAATAAACATATGTCTAAAATGCACTCACCCCAGGCAGACATCATCGGTCCATATAGATGTCGATTCGACGTCTATAGACATCGAATCAATATCTATAGACGTCGAATCAACGTCTACGGATCGATCATATTTGCCTGGGACATTTCATATAATATCAATTGATGCATGAAGTGCACGTTACGTCGGATTCATTTCTAAGTTTACATATTTACAAAGATATTTACAATAATTAGACGTAACGTGTATAGCAAATATGAACGCTTAATGCTAATTTTTCTTAGAAAACTTACGAATTTATCATCTAATAAATAAAATGTTTTAAAATTACATATTTGTCTCGTAAATATGTTAGAAGTTGTTACAATTTTTGTTTCAAATAGGACAACTTTTCAAATTTGTTGGATCATGTTTAAACATTCGAATTTTTGTGATGGCATATTAGATGACAAGAAATGTCAAAATGACATTAATATTAAGATGTGGGAATCTAAAAAATAATAATAATACAGAATTTTTTCGCAATTAATACATTTCATTATAAAAACACGAAGCAAAGGATTGAAAGATTGTTTTAAGTGATTTTAAGACATTTTCTAAAGACATATATCTTTAAAGCCAATTAATGTCTTATAATTTAATGAAAATTATGTTATAATTTAAAATAAAGAAAAACGAATACGGTTTTTTAAGTTAATAACAGAATATTAAAACATTAATGTATTTTATATTGCATTTCAAAATGTTAGAAGAAATTTTTAGTATCTATTGAACTGTCTATTAAAATTTATATTAATATTTTTTTACAAAAGGATAGAAAGTAAAATGTATAATGTTAAATATCTGCCTATATTATTTATTAAATGCCAGCGAAATTAATATAATGTTTTGATTCTTATTAGAACCATAATTTTCAAAATTTTTCCAAGAGAATTGCTATATTTAGTTACGTTAGTTACGTATTTATTAAGAGACAGGAATATAATATAATAGTAAGAAACTCATTATAATAAACTCATTATAATAAAAATTATACATATATTCTTGCGCACTTATGTTACACAATTAAGTAATCAAACAATCTTTAACTCTCGTATTGTACGCTCATTTATGTTTATCTGTCATATTACGTGTAACTTAAGATTATAAGTTTGTAACATATCATGCATCTTAGAATATACATATATTTTCGGCACGTTATACAATACGTATAATAAATTTCTTCTATTTCAGATTTACTCAACTCTAATCCAAACGTATACGATATATAAGTACACTATATCGCACAATTGGCGCATGGTTGTTGTTATTTTGCTGACGAGGAGCGTCTGACGATAAATTATTAATTGTTTTTTAAAATAATTTTCAAAATGGATATTTTGCCTGCCTCGTTATGCTAAAAAAATCCGTTGGCGTAGATCTAATTGTATATATATATATGCAGTAGAATAAATCAAACGACGACGGGATTCTTCGAGATCGGTTTTAAACTAACAGTTAATACCGGCGATTCCGTTGACAGTTCTATCTTCCGCTATAAAGAGACGTCGCTTTGAGAAAGCGGTCCATTACCTATCCTCGCATTACTGTTGAGCCGTTTCGCTGTCGTCGTGCTATTTATTGATTCCATGTTACTCGCGGACACGATTACGTCCGGCGATTTTTTATTACTCGTCACGACGGTCACAAATTCCTTCTCGTTGACAGTCGTCTGCGTTGATCGCGAAATGCACGTTGTCAGCGGCTCCCCGTTTTTCCGTTCCTTCAATTCCATTTCGTAGCCTGCGAACAAAAACGCGGGGGTGCCGCGCGTGATTTGTGGAACGTAATATGTAAATATGGAGAGATAAAAAACACATTAAAATGATGAATTCAAATTATGTGGGAATTTGGGACGGGGAGCTCGGGGACCGTGCTTACATTCGCTCTGAGTGGAGCAGTCCATCGTGGACGCGATATGTTTCTTGATGGCTTTATTTTGATCGCAAGTAGCGGCTGTCAAAACCGTCGTCGCCGTCACCGGCCCCATCATACTCGAGGCATTTGTGGCAGTTATCGCCGAACTTTTCGTCGGGTTAGGCCTTCCTGCCCTCACGGTTGGGCGTACGTTTCTCTCGGGTCGGATTAAAATAATGTACAGCTACACATATAAATAATACGCGTGAATCTCTTTATTGAGATAAATTAAGTTAAAAAAAAAATAGAGTTGCAATAATCGAGCACTCGATCACATTCATTTTAAAGGCGAGTGTTTCCAGATATTTTCAGAAGTGTCAAGCCTCACCTTCGGACTGAAGAGGCAAACCACCGTCACGGATGCAGAAAGACTGATTGTTACAGACATTGAGGTAATTCTCAGTGCGACGTTGCTTCCGGTACCGTAGTACAAAGGTACGAAAGCGAGCCATATGACGCATGTTGTGTACATCGTTAAACCTGGATTAGAAATATTATTTCTTAATGACGCTGTTCTTTTGTGCTTCATTAAACAATATTATCATATAATTGAAAGATATGTTAAATATCTGTTACATGTTACATTAATCGCGCTGTAATTGTATGATCCAATCTTTACCCGATTAATATTATCTTTATTATTTTTTATTATTTATCAAGCTGTATTTGTAATAACAAATAGTGGATAACATTGTTACAATGCATTATTATTTTACTTATACGTGTCGCATAAAAAATTTAAAGAATAGTGCTGTTTTTTTTTATCTTTATTGAGGCCTTTGACTCTTTATCGAGGCTTTTTCCAGTTTCATAGCACGAAAGACCATAGCACGTAACATAGTATGAACAGCGTAATAAAATATGCGTAATGTGGTGGCGCGGATATCGCGATGGAAAGGTAAACTTACCGATGTGCTTGCTCTCGTTGAAAGCTTCTGGAATTTTTCTCGTGAGGATGGCATAGATAGTACACACAATTATTAATATTATGGGATATGTAAATGCGATCATATAGCTCGTGTCGATGTAGTTGTTGCATACGAGTAGATTGTCTTCCATCGTGGGGTAGTGATGCATCGCTCTGGCAGGATCGATGATCATCCAAACTACGTTAATTAAGATCTGCACGGATATTAATCCGGAGCAGATGATAAGTTGCGACCGCGGTGATATGAAGGACGGCCTTTTTGCACTGCCGGCGTTGAAGATCCTTGAGATTCGATTGGTCTTCGTTAATAAAGCCGCGTATACCACCGTGAAACAGAAGCCCGCGGCGAATCTGTCAGCAGAGATGAAGCTGTATTTCCGTTTTCCTCAACAAGCATTCTATTAAAAAATGAGCGCTTTCTCCGCGCATAATTCGTATACTTCTATGTTCTGATTCTAACTCTCGACGCACAAAGATATAGTCATTTTATTTTTCATCACGTTATTTTTCTCTAAACTTTTTACCTCCCGTTTCCGCCACGAATATTGTCTAAGGGAAATTTTTTACACTCTTACTGTACCGTGATAAATTGTATTAAGAAGAAGGTAGGAAAATTAGTTGGAAAGTTATTAGATTCGAGAACCACGTAAAACTAGTAAAACTGCCACTTTTACTTGGACAGCATTGATCGTAACGCGAGAAATGTAATTTACCGAGTAACTGTAACAGTCTGGCAGGAACAAAGAGATTAATGCTGTCGCGTTGGAACTCGTGGAATATACCCGAAAAGATTCATAGGTTTTTTTTTTTTACCTTTGAATACCACAGACGATATGCGTAGGTTTGAATATCAGAGTGAATGTGACGAGGTAACAGAGTAGAATTCCCGAGAGTAGAACGTAAGATAGTTCTCGTCCAGACGCACGTACGACAGGCGTATCGTTGTGTTTGAGGAAAACTCCGCAGACAAATAATGTCACCTGTTTTTTTTTTCGCATAAAAACGTATATACATAGATCATATAAATGACTATGTCATAAAATACATGATATGGTTATTACAGTTTAAAATACAAGAGATACACACTTATATACACTGACAAGAGAAAAAAAGGGTTAAATCAAAAAATATTTTTTGATTCAACTATACATGGGCTGTCAAACAATTATTTGTTAATTCAACAAAATACTTGTTAACTCACAAAAATATCATGTTAATGTTATTGATATATGTTTAATTTAAATACATATATAATTGAACTAAAGAAAATATCAATAAAGCGCTTTAGATATTTCAACAATTTTTTTTTCTCAGTGTATAAGATTCAAGATCTCTCAATTTCAGAAAATTATAATCTTGCGAAAAATACCGAGGGATACTTACCAAAATCCCCGTGGCGGAAAAAGACATCGCACCTATCGCCCAGCCACTTTCCGGACGTAGAAATTCTTCCGGAACTTCCCGGCACTTCGAATGTGTTTCGTCCGGCAACGTGCCTCGTTCACACTGACTGCACTGCGTCTCATCCTCGGGATGCCGTATCTATTCGAGCAATATAGAAAAATTCTTGAGAATAAAACGGTAAATATAAAACAGCTGAATTTTATTTATATGTAATAAATTCGTAAATTTGATTCGTAAATTCACATCATTTATGTACTATTCAATTAACATTGTTTTTCATTAATTTTTTTCCATTGCAACGTATACCTTCTAATAATCTTCTCTCTTTTCCTGAGACACGCTATTACTCTGTTGCGTTTAAGTATATCATTCATTTATTATTCGTAAAAGAATCTTATTACTTTTTTCCATATGTCGCAAAACGGTATAAAAATATTATAAAAAGATAAGAGCATAAAACACGAACAAAATCATTCGGCACACACGCTATAAAAGAAGTCGTATAAATATCTTTTATCTTCATCTGACACGCATTCAACGGGAATTTTTGCTGACAAAGGCAGTAAGTATGTGATACTTTTCGCGTGAAACTCTCGTGAATTATTATAACTAAAGAAATGCAAAAGATATTTTCTATCATTACGACGTGAGATATTGTACGCGTTATATCTTTTAAAAAAATGAACAAAAAGACAAGTTAAATGTTTAATCGGACCTAGTAGGCGGTTAGTTATCTCAACAACACGCCGTTATCATACCTGATATTGAGTGCAATTAAAGCAATGCCAGCAGCATCTTTCACCCTCGACGTATTTCTTTGCCTGACCGTCCTCGCAAGGTAAGGAGCACACGCTTTCGGGCGGCTGAGGATGTCCAAGCTTAAATTGGATTTCTAAAACAAATACATGTGCGCAACGACGGGTGTATAGAACTGTATGTATAGACAAACAGTATCTAATAGGATATTGCAGAGTAGAACAGACACATCCTAAGCAAGATAGGGACAGATCTCATAACATGAAAGTGTATGAGCTTACCCGACATGTTCAGTCGCAGCTCGTCTTCCGAGTATTCGCCAACGCGAACCCACTTGTACTTGCCCGGTTCGGTTTGCTTGAAATGTATGATGTTGTACCGCGCCGGTCCGTCACCGTCCTTGTTGAAATTAAACTTGTCTCCGCTTAGACCTTAAACGTAGTCGTTCGATCGCCTATGAGTACCATGAAAACTTGATCGAGACATATAAGCAGCTAATCACGGTAATGTAGGAAGCATCTATCGTCTCTTATTGAATTTTATTCAGGCGCGAGAGCGTCGCGAGAGGGGATAAATATCGCCGTATCGATTTACAATATAAATTCCAACGACTGGAATCGCACCAGATATATTCGCACTTCAAAACCACCTTTAAGGAAAACGCTTTGTCAGCTTACCCTTGAAATTCACATTGCGCAGGTACTGCAAGAGTAACGTTCCGTTAGTCGGTTTCATCTCGTCGCACAGTCCCGCCTTTCCGTGACAAAGGTCGTGATGCATGTCTCTGAGAGAAAAAGAACAGCGTATTTTTTTTTTTAACAATTTATCAACATACATACACGAAAACAAACTTTCTGTATTTTTTTTTTTTTTTTTTTTTCAGAGACTTGTCCAATCTGTCGAAAAGATTCCAATTACCGAAAAGCGTGAGCGAATGCCATTACTGCATCGGAAACAAACTGCAGTTGGTCCTCAAAAGCCGTGTTCTGTTTGGTGAGACGTTCCTTCGTTGTGCATTTCTTCGTGTAATTTACGTTATACGGCGTCCGGGGCGCATTTGGATATTGGCATTTAAAATGGTCTTCCCAAAATTCTGAAATTAACATCAGAACTTATTTTTTTTATCCCAGTACATGATAATTCGATTTGGAATTTAGCGAAACAACATGTATATTAACGAGAATAGTTATAATTTCAAATAAAATGTTGTTAATGTTGCACGTAATACTCAACTTTCAATGAAAAGAGAATTGCAATTCGTAGGAATACATGTACAAAATTATTGCCTCGATTATTTCGTTCGACAGCTAATGATAGTGAACACGTTAATATAATAATAAAATAAGAAGCTTATCGCAAAAGTAGTCTAACTGCCACAAAATTTGATTTCCCATTTTATAGCATTAATAATGGTTTCATAAGTTCATAAGTTATTAACTTATGTATTAACTTACGTTAATAAGTTATTAACTTATGTAGTTAGACTACTTGCCACTTTTGCGGTAAGCGCCTCAGATGTCGGTCGACTTAGCAAGATCGCGTTTGTGTGCTAAGAGTTTGTCGGTATATATATTGACAGAAAAGTGACTTTGCTAACGACCGCAAGTGTATATGCGAATGCATATTCACAAGCGGCTTACGGTCGCTGTAAAAGCTAGATTTCACCAACAATAAGTTTCGCTCTCATCCAACATCCTTTCGCCCCTCTTACCGACGAACCACGGGTTCCTCCGATTGTTCTCGACGGTCAAGTTGAGGAAGTACTCTTCGAAACCCTTAACGGGGTTCGCCTGAGGTTGAACCGATAGAGTGCCCTCGACTTCCGGCTCGTTACCGTTACTCACTAATCCTCTTGCACTCCAGCCGTCGCTGCCGATCCAGGAAAAAACCCCGGTCGCTTTACGACGCCTGACCGCCCTCATGACCCCGGCGACTTCTTGATCGGAACCGAAGATAATGCAACCTGCGGCGTAAGTGTAAGTTGAGGGAACTTCTCGCGGAAATTTCGTATGTTAAAGTCGCGCGCGACACGGCGCTCTTTTATCTCGTTTCCTCGTTTATTATCGCGTGGTAGAAAAATCTTCACCACCCTGGTCTTATTTTATCGCACGGCCTACTGGTATCGCAAAAATTTCGCTTTTCCGAAATGAGAGGGATTTCAGCTTTTATTGGGAAAAGTGCCGATGAAACGGTCTCGCTTCGGTGTCGCGATTGGTGATTCCCATGAGGCTCGAGATTATACAGGCAGGAATCGATGAGGACGCATAAAAGGGAGCATAAGGTTTCGACCTTACAAAGTCGAGAATGGTTTGGTTACAAAAGGTTCTACACGAGGAAATTCTACATAAAATAGATGTTTATCGCGAGATACTTTTCCCTCCGCCGGAGTATAGTAGATACGGAGTATAGTAGATCTCAAACAATCAGATATATTCCTTGCCGGGGTCGTATATGCTTTTCTCGGATAAAATTGGTATTTTAAATTCAAATCGATGTGACTCGAAGAGATGGAAGTATCGTTTGAGAAAAAATCTTGTAGATGTAGGTACATACATTTATCTTCTCAATCGTACGTTTTAACGGTTGACATGATTATTGAGAACAATTTATTTAAAAAATTCTTCATGTAACAGATTATTTTAATTTCATTTATTAATCATAACAAAAATAATAATGGGACGCGTGAAAATTTTGCATATTACTCCGTTTCGAAAATATAATTACTTACGTTATAGTAATAAACATTGTGTATCTAGTTTGCTGCTTGGGAGATATTTCAATTTCTATCATCTCTCTCTCCCTTTCTTCCTATATATATCTCTCTTGACCTAATAATATCTCGTACAGAGCGAGAAAGAAGTATTCTTGAACAAAATCAGTAAGTATTTTAATGAACCGTTTAATCTCTCTCAACTTAGCTTTTTAAAAAATATTTCTTTGTGAAAGAAAAAGTGAATTATTTGTAAAAAATGTTGGCTGAAAGTTTGTCCAAGTACGAAAGATTCTAAAAGTCGTCGCCTCGGGAGAGATCTTAAGGTTCAGGGCCATGTTGAATAGGTTAAATGGATGAAACATTTATTCGCCTAAGGTAGCAGAAGAAAGCACGCATCGCTCATCAGACGGAGTCGCTAAATTCTATTTCCCTGAAACGAGATTACGGTTTCAACGTGGATAGAGAGTTATGCCATTAATTATACTTCTTCTTTATGTATGTACATACATACGCGGATACGCGAGAGAAGTTATCTGACAACACCATAATTTTTATGCGCCTTACAGTCATTTTCACTTTGTCTCATTTCTCATATTCCTTCCACGGAATGAACGTCCGCTCGTTGCTCTGTCATCTTGCGCGTCTGTCATCTCGCGTGTGATTTTTCTCGCGAAACGTATAGTTATATATCGAAGGACTTCGATATTTTATTAACGATACTGTACAAATACAGTACGATTCAATTTTATTTATCTTACCTCTCTCGTGTAACATAAGATAATATTTAAATAAGCTCATTATAAAATTGATATTCGTCGTAATTTGATCGTAATTTTCTCTTCACATGTTGTTTTACTTTTTATCGGAAATCTATAAATACCGGCATCGAGTAATTGAAAGAAGCAATTCGTTCCGTCGGTTAAAATGAAATACAAAATATCAGTGTCACCCTTTCTGGCTTTGAAGGCAAACTTATTTAAAATAAGACAGATATTAAAAGAGATAGTTTAATTTTCCCCCACGCGCAGCGAAATATCTTGTCGTTTCCTTAATGGAGCCTTGAAGATGCGCGTGCACAAATATTCAATTAAAATTATAATCTAAACCGCGCTTGTTTAACTTGCAAAGAAAGCCAAGGATTTAATGTTCGCTCGTCTTGCTTGGGTAGATCCTGGGGAAGAAGTGGAGGAGTTAGGCGAGTTCTGGAAATTTTCAACAAGGTTTGAATTGTTTCTGACACAGTACCGTCTGGAGTGAGTACCGTCGCGTTTCCATTTCGATAATGAGTCCATTTCGTCACTCCGAAGCGGATCGAATAAAGTCGGAGTCTTTGTTGCATTCACCATCGATACTATTTTGTAATTGTGTTTTTTCCACGTTCGAGAATCGTTTTAATATAAGAGAGGTGTTTTAAGATAATTAACGCTGACTAGAAGAATAATGTCGAGCGAATGGACAGACGATCGGCAGTAGAGCCGCGGCAATAATTTAAATATAAATCTTTTTTAGTGTCATTTATTGAAAAGCGGATTATCGAAGAAACGTCAGTTAAGATTTTACGGCTTATTCAAGAGGTCGATATACGTACCGGATTTATAATTTAGGAGAGAAGAATGAGAGAGACAGAAAGAGAGAGAAAGAGAGAGAGAGAGAGAGAGAGAGAAAGAGAAAGAAGAGAGAAATAATTCATGAGAGTGAAAATTTGTCATTTACGTTGGATTAACATCCCTAATCGTGTCAAATTAAAAATTGTGCATTATGATATATGTACATTTCTACAAACATGCAAATGTGCTGATATATACAATAAATGAATGCATTGTTCTATTGAGCAGTTAAAAATAAGAAAAAAAAGAACAATGATCAGAGACAACTTTTGCGTATATTTTTCTACACTTTGCTTTATAAATTAAGTTTATTTAAATTATTAAATCTTTATTTTACCTCTCGCTCGCGGTTTTGTCAGCAACTTTGAAACTATCTCATCGTAGGCGACCTCTTCGGCGACTCCGGAGTCCTTCACCAACTTTTCTTTGACGGCGATACATATGTTATATTTCCCTAGTAGTTCCTCGAGTTCCTCGAAAGCCTGCAACGCAGAGAGATAGAAAGGGATGCATTTTCTCGAAGACGTTTCCAACAATGCATCGTATCTAATGCGGGCCCGTTCGTGGCCTTCATCGAGCAGCGCACGTAGTGCTTTGAGGTCTTTTAGAAGAAAGATGGGCGTAGCAAGGAATGAATAGAAGGGCGGAAAGGAAATGTACCTTAATGGAAAAATATAGACTTAAATAGCACATCCAAAGATTCCTTCCTTTTGACAGGTTGTATAAAAAGATCATGATTCAGATAACAGAGATCGCTGCATTGAGACTTGAATCTTAATTACACGCAAACACAAATTATTGCGAGTGTTGTTGCTGTCCCACGTACGGAAATAGCGGTGTCCGTGGTATAAAAGTTCTCTATGCTGAACTTGAAACTTTAGGCATTAAACATTAATTCAATATTTTAATACAAAAATGTGCCATCTTCTTGTACGGTCTGTAGAAATATTCATCTTCTGACAGTGAAGTGTGTAATAATAGAACGTCGCTTATATGCAACGGCTGAGAAACGGTGGGATTTAGCCGAATCTGCATCCTCGAGATTGTTTCGCTCTATTGATCACGAAATGAATCACTACAATGAAATTCCGTGGTGAGATTTGATAGTGAGGTGGAAAAACTTTGTTACTTTGTCGAACAAATGGATATATGGTAATAAAAATCCCCATTTGTTCCGCGCTTTTGGCTTTCGACCGCTCGTTGAAAAATGTTCCCTTCGTGCCACGAAATCATATATATGTGTATATATATCTATCTATATGTTCTCGTATCGATCCGTTCCTCCTAGACCGTTCCTCTCTGTGCACATTTTTCGTATGCGATCCGTATGTCGCGCCGAGATCGCTGATTTCCAATCCCATCGCGAATGGTATTATCGATTGGTCGCGTCATACGGAAAAACGTAGTTACATACGCATATGGCTTATCTTTTTCCATATTTTTTATTCCTCTAAGGTTTCACACGATAATTTTGCAACAATAAAAAGGGAAAAATTTCCATGTTTTGCCAGGCACAAAGTGATGTAACTTCATTACTAATGGAATAATTTTAGCAATTGAGTGATTAAAGTCTAATCGCTCAATTGCTAAAATTATTCCATCAGTCGATCAAAATCACATTGAATTTTTGTTGCCATTAATTTTTTAATTTTTCTTGTAAAGCAGCGGTAATAAAATACAAATATTTGTTAACAAATATAACAAAAGGTATGCATTGAGCTTGAGCTGAGCACTGAATCTAGTGTGCGTGAGTTAAACTCCGGTCAATACGAATCATTGTTCCGCGAGTAGCGATAAATTAGCTGGTTGGAGAGCGGTTTCGAATTCCTACGTACGTATTATATATTCAAAGCGCGGTCCTTCCTTCATTATTATAGGACGCTGTTGGACGATATAATGGTTCTTGTTTTGACTCCCGTGCGAGAATTGAATTTGGTGTATATAAATGCCAATCTCTGGTAATATTAGAAGATCTGTTGTTATAGAGATGTGAAGCTATAAAGACATTTGAATATTTATTGTGAAACGTTTATTAAACATTCATTAAATTTATTTTTATACTGGCTCTCTCATACTGCGACTTTATTATTCATGATATTGCGAGTTGGAGATGATATTTTGTGTTACGCAACAGGATTAAAAATTATTATTCGAAAAACCTTTCCATGTGTAAACATAGCTTTGACTCTGTCATTTACTTAATGAATTACGCAGGAAGATTTTCTGGCCTTTAAAATGATACGAATGAAAAATAGAAAGAACTAATATGATATAAGCAAGAAATATGGTTGATTTTTTAAATATGGTATATTTTTTAAATATAAAGAAATTAAATATTTTACATTATATACGAAGGATACGTTGTATGAAGAACGTTTCATAGTTTTAAGGCAAAGGAAAGAATCATGATGAAGGGTAAATGTGATAGCTCGAGGGGATAGGAAAGGAAAGTTTAGGGATTGGCTATACGGGTTTTTCGAACCTTCTAAATATTTATCAGACTAAAGATCTTTTCGAATTTGGCTTTTCAGTATCTTTATTCTCTATACACACGGTTTACGGTTACTATATGTTTCATGGATACGATTTTGTATGTACGTCGTTATGTATTTTGTCACCTTTTTGCAAAATACGGTGAATAGCATGAATGTGAGCAAAGTAATTAAAAAAAATCATATTTTCCATAGGCAGAAAAAAGCCGTAATGTGTTCGCGTCATTTAAAAGCAGTATTTAAATTCCATCGTCTAAATAAGCAAATGTTTCGTAAATGCATTCTTTCTATATAATTAAATATTTAAAATTAAATATCGAGGTATTATTTTCTTCATTGTCTTTATTTCGATTTGTTTAAGATTCTCAATGTCGAATTCTATTGCTCGTGTGCGTGCATGTTTTCGGAATAATTTATTGCTTTAATGCGCAAAAATACTGTGGCACCCTTTTTAGCTTTTTACCTCCCACGAAGCCGCATCCGGTACTCAAGTAACTTCCGTTTAATCTCTTAGTTTCCCGGGCATGCCGATAACGTGGACCACGTAAGATCGATCGTTATGTAGTCCGCGTATTTCGCGAGGAATCTAATTATGGTTTGAACGTAATGTGCTTCGTTTTTCCCTCGTCTCTCTCGCTCGAAGAGAGCAGAATATTGTGGTGTAAATTCTATCAAGCGCACGCGACTTGACACGTACCGGGCGACGTATATGATAGGCGGTAATGAAATTCTGATCGGTTGGGTAACAGGGACGGCCTTTTCTTTTGATCGTGTCGCACCAGTCATTGCGGCCTTACGAGAGGTAATAGATCGAAATGCCATTTCTCTGTACCATCAAAATGTGGCTGCGTGTTAACTCATACGTGTCGCGCGTACGTATGCATGCGAAATATTAATTTAATGTGGGCACATCCATCATCGAATTTTGCTCGCAAATGCGACGATTGTGTGATTAATGCTATGGTCGCGTAAATTTGACGCCTCGAATTGCCAGCGGTGACGATATGATTGAATTCTTGAGAGTTAAATCTCCCGTGTATTTTAAAACAAAAAAAACTTTTTTTAAATCTGTTAATCTGTGCTCAACTAATATATTAATTACAATAAAATCGACATTTTCTTAATGGTTGGAAAAAGTATATATTTTACGGATGAAAGCTAGATACGAAAAACGAGATTTATGGATTTTAAATTCGCGTCACGTATCTGTGCACATTATATGCACATATTCGTGCGCTTATATATATCAGAATCAATTTTCTACTCATAAATATCAATGTTTCGTATTAAATTATTAGATCCCTCGCTTGCTTCTTTCACGTGATACGTAATTCTAGCATAAGCATGTGCTTGTGTAGGTAACTATGTGACATTATATGTGTTTATAACTAACTATATCAGTGGCAGTGTATAATTAATTATTACTGCTACAATTAATTGCACATTTAATATCTTCATTTTCTAGATATTAAATCTTTAAATTTGAAGATTGAAGTTTATTTTTATTTCATATATTTTCTTCAAATTTGTATATTCTGAGAAAGATAAAGTTGTACGGTTTTAATGAAGTAGAGAGATTGAATGTCATATCTGTTACTACATTTAATTTCATATTTCCGTGGCTTATTAAAAAAATTTTAATTAAAATATTGCATAATTTTATTCTTTTTGGCATGTAAAATTTTAGGCAAAAGTCCAAAGATAATAGATTAATTTACATAAACACAGTATTAATCAATACAAGGTGAATTTTATTCATAAAATAGACACTAGATTTTAATATACATACATATAGTTCGTGATAATAATCCGTACATCAACATAATTTGAAATGCAAGGAATATATTCGGAATACATTTATTGTGTATAGTGCAGCGACACGAAATACGTATATTGGGATTCAAGTAGGACAAAAGAAATCTCTCTCATTATAACGAAAGGTATACATAATGAAACAATGATTTATAACGTTAATTCCCCATCGCTTCAATTCAATCGTATTTTAAGCGGCTAAATCGCGCGGAATATCCGCTTCGGTTGTCACGCTTGCCGCGATACGATTCGTTAATCGCGGGAAAATTAATCAATCGCGCGAGATAATCAATCGCTGAATGTGATATAGAGAGGGGACGATCGTTACGCGTCTTGAGATGCAACGCGACAAGTGGAACGATCAGAGAACTTGCCTGAGTACGTTGGTAGCATTACGCGATTTGTAGCGTAATATTACTCGTGTGTCTTATACAAACATTCGGCTGGGCCGTTTGTTTTCGTAACGACCGCGGCGCCGAGAGGCATGTATCCGTGCGCGCACAAGGTCGCGCGACTCTACCATTCGCCCTATGCCGACGTTCGATCGCAAGGTTGCGGCTGCACAGATCGCTTCGTGTCGCGAGCATTACTTCTCGAGAGACATTAGTCTTTTAACATTTTCGCGCTGCCTGATACACGTAGCGACTGATCACTTCGCTCGTTCGATTAATTCCCGCAATTATAACGATTCGCTAGTCGAGCGAGCGTTTTCTGTTAATGCGATGAATAATTCGCGTAACTTGGCCCTTCGTAACGCGTAGCGAGGCGCAACGACGAACGAGCGTTACAAGCCATTGTTTCATTACGCACACGGGCGATATAATGATTTCTTTAGCCATACTCGAATTCGAATCGCGCTTTGTGTTTTCCGCCGATTCAAACGTAATTTAGTTCGCCCTCGGACTGGAGCGCGCGAGTAATACACAGATCGCGAGCGATTGAAATTAATAATACGGAGGGCCATGGTATATCGAACATTTATTTAATACGTATATCGTGGAATTTATATAGAGGTACCGAGAAACATCCAATGCGTAATATTGAATTTCGATTATATTCTGTCGGACGATCAGTCGCAACTTTTCTCAACCATTGAAACTTGACTCGCATCGTATCGCGCGGCAGAGCAGGCTAAAGTTGCCATCGTTTCCGGAATGCGGATAAAGGACGAGCGAACCCTAAATCGAGCGACGCCGCGTTCTATTATAGTCAGTATTATACGGTCGTTATTAACGTCATTAATCTCTCGTATCCAACCGTATTTCGATACTTAGCGATCGTGGAGGATAGACTTAATGTTCGTAATCGATTGATTTTAGTTAATATAGGCTCATCTCGCAAGACTTACTTAACCTGCATAAGTCGCGTGAATAATCGATAAAGCAACGATCGTATATATTATTCTCGGAAATCACGTTCCGCGAATATTATTTTTCTTAACTCGTACATCTATAAATAATTCCTCTTACGTCGTTTGTGCTGCTACGTGCAAAAGTAATCTCGAGGTATACATTCGTTATTCACGCGCGGAAAGTGCGCGAAGTGCAAGCACCTGCAGGGCGCCTCGATGATTGCGCCTGGCGTGTGAAGTTGGCCGCGCGACTTACGAATTCTCGCTCCGCCATGTCAGATTACGTTCTCGGCGCTACTTGCGGGCGGTATGCAAAGCGGTGACGCCGGGCGGACCCCGCGGACGACGCGCTACTCCAAAAGATAAGTGGACGGTAATGACGGGATACGCATCTGTGTAAGAAGAGGTGTACACAGGCACACGTGGGCCGCGTTGAGCATAGGCACATCTCTGTATACATATTCTTCGGGGGAGTCGCGTCTTTCGTCTGGCGTTACTACTCGCGAGGCGTCACGGGTCACACCGCCCGGTGCGGATCGTCGTTCGTAGGTTATCCACGTTATTCTTTCACCGCCATGTAATAAAGTGCGCGCCGCGAGATTAACCCCGGGAGTGCCGTGAGAGAGAGGTGTCGCGCGATCGTAATTTTTCGTCGATATTTTTCGCGAGTGAACGTCGCGAGTGAGTGCGCTCTGTGCGCGTCCCGAAGCAGTCCCGAAGGAGCGACAACGGTATAACGGCGACCGAGAGCACGAGGGGGGCATGCCGGGAGGCATCGGGCGACGGCGGAGCAACCCGTGGGGTGAGTAATTGTTATTCGTTTATTTGCGAATTTCGCCTCTCCCTTTTCCAGGAACGCGACTTGATTCCCGTCCATTACATGATATCCATTACTTGTACAATACCGCTCGAGGTTTAACTCCGGCGCAATTTCGAGTCTCCGACGTTGCGAGTACCGACACGGAAAGAGATATTATTCCGTCGAACGCGTCGCGTCTCACTTATTCGCACGGTCGTATAATATTACTTGCACGGATTTTTCACGGATTAATTATGCGAACGAGTTAATGGAAATGTGCGCCAGCTAGCAGCGGTCGCGATCATTTCATATGCATTAGCATTTGCAAATCAGATATCTAACGATTAAAAAGACGATTTAAAAAGTTTAACGGGAGTAATTATTATTTTTTTAGGTATTAATTACTTTCAACACTGCTCTAATATGAATATATTTATTTGTTGCAGATCAACGAAGTGTTACAATTCCGCTGCTGCGCATCGCCCGGTGAGTTATTTTTTATTTTAATTTTGGAGCAATAGATTTGTGAAAAATTCTGTTACAAATGTAAATAAAATGTGTGTGTGAAAAACGCGATATTATAAAAAAATTCCGAAGTATGTTTTTTCTAATGATTATTAGTTTTTATAAAAAAATATTAAAAATTTATCAAAAAAATTTTTTAAATGAATGTAGCAGTAAATTATTTTGTATTATTTAATTTTATCAGTTATCTGAAAATGTAATATTTATTTTAATTATTACAAAAAAATTAAAAAATTATAAGAGCAAAAAGACATAAGAATATTAGAGATAAACATATCTTATAATCTATTGCTTTGAAATAGGCTCTAGAATAGATTAGAGCTTATTGTTACAAAATATTTGTATAATTTATAATTATTAATTACATTTACACACACAGACGCGCGCTGTTTGACATTTTTCTTTTCGCTTTCGACATTTTTTAAAATAATTTTTAATTATCTGCCAATTTTTTATTCTGTACACTTACAAAGACGTATACGCTTATCGGAGTGATAAAAGGGATATTCCCGAAAAAAGATGTGTCTCATTATTTTTAACTCATTTTTTAAAAATTATTATTTGTTTTTTATAAGAATATACGAAGACGAAAAAATTGAAATAAAAAGATACAGAGATATTTCTCTGATTTTCGCTTTAGTTTTCTACATTGCAAATAAAATGTCAAAATGGAATCCGTTGCAGAAATAATAAGGTACGGTACGTGTACGTCTTGGGTATGATATGTACACATGGGAGAATATATTTTCTCACGGCGAAGTGTCGCGGTGAAGACGTTTATGCATTTTTCATGACACGAGTGCAACTGATTGAGGATGGCGTATTCTCGCTTTTATGATGAAACTGTAGAATCGCCAATTATCGTTTCTTGATAAAAAGCGTTACTTTGATACATTTCTCAATTACGCATTCGTCAAGCGCGTTAGTTTTCAAATTGGAAATGGATGAATGACTAGGCATCCCATTAAATAACGTTCGTTTATATTAATACGTCAATTTTCTTTATCATACCAAGTCACAGAACTGCCTTAATAGGAAATGTCTTCTCTTTTAATTATAATTCTTTTTCGCGAGTATATACACTTAAATTCTCTGCCACGCAACTTTCTCTTTTTTTTTCTGTTACGTTTGTACCAACTTTTACCGCATAATTCGCGTGTACTTTGGCTCACATAGGACAATTTACAGAGAACCAACATTACCTAATAATTAAAGTAGAAACGTTTATTTGATATAATTAAGTTCAGTTTTTGAAATATTTTCTCGACAGAGTTGCAAATTGCTTGCATTGTACGATTTCCATGAAAAACACATTGTTGTGAAAAGCATATTTGTACCATCTATCTTTGCGTTATCGAGGAAAACAATTTGATGGAAAAAGTTATGCTGGCAGGTAATGTGTAACAGGATTCAGGATGTGAAATTATCGCGTTTACTGCCGTATTTACGATTTCCAATATCCTGCAATGGATGATTACTAGCTGCCCCTGTTTTATATACTGCAAAAAGTTATATGATATGAATATCACTATCGTAATAGTTGGACACGTGATGAGTAACAAAATAACTGCATGTAGCAATTAAAGATAATAATTCTACCGTTACATTCAGAATATAGCAATATCAATATTTGGAATAAAAGGTTGATATTTTCAAGAAATGGTAACTCTATTCGACAAAACGATATATCTTTTTACACGATATATCTTTTTTTATAAGAAGTTAGCTTACTAATAATTAACACGTATAAATTTACTTAATTGCAATTTGAATTATTTAGGAGAAAATTTTCAATGAATGCCCTTATCGTAATTAAATTCTCTGTAAATTCACATTACTCATTAAATTCACGTGAAATTCATTTGCTAGACGTTTAGCGAAATCAAACAACTCGGCGAAATGGAATGGACTTGCCACAAACTTAAAATAATCTTAATTAGAAGCAAGTAACGTCGCTGAAATATACATATAAAATTTTCATGTTAACAATTTAGAAATAAGAGAGAGAAAAAGAGAAAAGTAGGGGAGAGAGAGAGAGAGAGAGAGAAAGAAAAAGAGAATCTTGCGTAAAACCGGAATATTATCTTAGCCAGAGGGAAAAATTTGACAAGTCTCACGATTTCATCCGAGTTATTTAATTGTCGCATATATTGAAAGATATTATAATTTTCGCGTAATGCTAAATATTCACCGGACTGCAAGTTGAGAGATAGCCGTCGAAAAGAGGAGTCGAAATTATTTGCGCGCCATTGTAAATTATTATAATGGATTTTATTCCCCGACAACGGGAAGTTGTCTTTCCATTTATTCTCGTTTTTCCACATTTATTTTCTGTGAATATTACGAATATTGTCGATTCGTTTATCTGCACCAGATTGTAGTTGCATAAAGGCCTATTTAGATGAAATAATTTTCAAGCGACGTGTGTAATATAACTTAATAAAATTAGATATAAATAGTTAATGTTTGTTGCGTATGTAACATTAATGTTATATAACATTAATTTTACATTAATGTTATATAACATTAATTTTACATACGCAACAAACATTAACTATTTATATCTAATTTTATTAAGAAATTCAAAATTACGATGACTGGAAATGTCAACTATACAAATTATACAATGCAAACTATACAAATTAGAAACTATAATTTCTATTAGTTTCTAATGTTATATGTTAGTTTTTAATATCGTGTTGCAAACGTCAACAACATCTTTATAAAAGAATAAATACAATTTTGATACGATACTGAAAGAATGGTATTGGCAAAATTATAGGTATATTAAAGATTATTTAACTCAAGACATGATGAATACTTTCTTAAATATTGCTAATAATATTTTTTAACTATTGTAATTATAATAATTGCTATGTAATTCATTAAAAAATGAAAAATTATAATAAATAACTGTTAGTTTTACTTGTTATTTTTTCGAGTTCCATTATTTATTTGCAATGAAATGAAATATGAAATCATGAGAAAAGTCGTTGCAATTTTACATTAATTCATTTAACATACGTACATTGCTATATTTTTATCAACAAATATTTGATTTAGCTTGAAAGCTTTGCGGATGGCATTATATGTAATAATATTGGAATAAAATACTATATTTGAGCAAGATATTTTCAATGCGAAGATTTATTTACATATTTGAATACGTACAGTTTTTAGTCAATCATAATTACAGTATTTATATTAGAGCTGTTATATAAGAGCAATATTTAATTTTAGTTTGTAACAAATTTTAACGTAAAATAAAAAGAAAATCATATAGCAAATTATATATCTTTTCTTTCTATGTATCGTACATATATATATTGTATTTATATAATTTAAAATGAAAAATAGAGATTAAATGCATGTAATTGAATGATAACAGATTATATATAGCTTGGCACGTTCTCTAATACTGCCCATAAATCTAAAGCCAGATATTGCGATCAAGTACTTACCTTTACGCCGTAGTTGCTCTCCTCGTAAATGATGGAAACGTAGCTCCAACCCATCGTCAGTACAATGTCGACCATCGCTTTGACCTGATAGTGATCGCTGGGTATCGTGCGGCTGAAATATTCGAAGCGTTGTTTGTTGGAAAGTTCTGGGCTCGTCGAGAAAAAAGAGACCTATAACACAATAGGCAATTTTCTTAAATTATTTAAACACGAAGGAGTTATTACGAATTTTATAACATTGTGCGTAGTTAGCTGTTCCACCGCGATTTTGTAACAAGATAATATTATTAAGATATTTATGCAGTGTTTGTGTAAAATATTTTTATTTGTATAAAATGCAGTGAAACGCATGATGTAGATAAATAACGTTGTTTACGTTTTAACCCCATCATCGTTCCTTGAATGCGCTGCAGCTTTTTAGATTAAATTTATATTCAAATTATTTTGTTTAAATCTTTAAAGATCTTTAAATTTGCGAATAAATCGTTATTTATATTAGATGATCAAACAGTCAAATGAATTTATGATTTTACCATTTTTTAAATATCTCTACATTCTCTCTTTTTCTTGATTTGAATTTTATATCTGAATTTGTTTTAGAGATTTGCGTTCGTATTGTTTAAATAAAAACCTTTTCCGTAAAAAACTTGTATACAAAAAATAAAATAAAAGCTTTTCTACGAATTATTTTATTTTGTTTATACAATTTTTTATTTTGTTTTATTTCGTTTCTACAAGATATAGCACAAAGCTATTAAAATAATTAAGAACAGAAAAACGTATTTTCAGTATTTTCTAGGATAAATAAGTAAGAATTATAAACTTTTTAAGCATAAAAAATAAAAAATAAAAAATCTTATAAAATTTCACTTTATAAAGTTTCCTGTTTATGAAATATTATAGATTTCTGTGGCATAAAAAGATTGTGATGCGAATATTTGTGATGTCGAAGTATCCATGTTCGAGGTACAATAATGGTGATATAAAATTCATGTGGAGCTTCTATCACAATCTTGATTTTTATATCTCATTCAAATGTCTGAACGTTTTCAAAAGTTTTTCATATTAGGTTTGCTTCTGTAATCTTGAAATCTACCGAAAAACGATATTGAGTTTTTCATTGCATTGCGTATGACATTATAGAATACGGATATTTGCGTTAGCATTGGACAATTCTCTTCGTGATTGCAGGCGAGTGGTTACGCTTGACTAAAAGCGAAGTAAACTTGGATCCTTCTGAAAGTGGCCGTCGTTTCTGCTAACCTCGAATTCTCCTATCGGTTCTACTGCCGGAATGGCCTGAGAGAGCGAAAACGTGTAAGTTTAGAGAGTCGCATGTAAAACTCGTACGGTTTTCTTGAGAAAGTCAAGATAATCGATAAATTTATATCGTTTAATGCTCTTTAAAACGATTTATATTGCACTGTCAGAACGTTGGGATTTCGTAGCGCTACGCAGCGATATAAATTTTACTAAAAATAACAATCTTAATATTCAAGTTGAAGAAAATATAGCATCAAAGCTTGAGAGGTATAAGTAATCAAACAGTTGTTATAAAGTTTTAAATATTCAAAAATTTAACAAGGATTCAAAAATTAAAAAGTCGCAGAATCTACGAGTTTAAGTCACAGATCAAAAGATTTGGAAATCAAAGTTCTGTAGAACGGAGTATTCGAAGAACAAAGTTTAAGGGATCTAAGAATGTAGATATCTGAGAATCGAAGGATAAAATCAAATACACTCTTACACAGCTGTTTGACGACCTAATATAAATGACGATTTATATTCGCGTGTGTATGAATTTAATCTCGAGACAGAGCCATTCAGAAAACGATGACGATTGTACATAAAGGATCGTTTATCTAAGTCATGCATTTCATCGTAACTTCATAATAAGTTCCACCATCAGTTTGTCGTTTATCTATGGACCAAGTTCTCCCTCTTTCCATACAATGTTCTTCGTTCACCATTTGTGACGCTTATCGAAGAATAGGCGATTTTGGGTTAGCCGCATGTGGCAACGCGGATAATTAATCATCTTTTCGTTCGAGGAAGGCGGGCGTAAGGTGACTTCCTTCGAGATCGACTTGCCGGTTGATACAATCGCGTTACGCCTTTGACGAACTTTGACGAAGATATGCCATTATTGTTCTTATTATCAGCCTGGCTTTTCAGAGTGCTGTACAAGTTGAATTTCTACCGCATGTTCTCCGCATCTTGATCTCGCCAAAGAATATTGAATGGCCCGAAATAGGATAAGATTGTTTATTATAACATTATAATTTTATTATAATTTCTATCGTAGATTTTTACTCGCGATTTAGTTCGGTTGCTCTCTATTGTCGTCCGATTTGTCTTAGCCAGTAACGAGATTTCAAAATGTTCGATCTGTACAAGCGACATCGATGCGTAAACATCGGATGAGTTTATGTAGTGAGAAACGAGGCAACGTTATCTCACGCCACGAAGGTACCAGCGCTACTTTTCTCCACAACAATGCGCGTCCTATCATACATCGCGGGTGTTGCACGCTATGGCGAATATATTTATCATGGTTTGTCAGATTCAGAGTGGTTCTCTCTCTCTCTCTCTCTCTCTCT